TTTTTTTTTTCCATCATCAAAATTTTACCTCAGGACCTCTTCTTTTACCATTTTCTTCTAAGTATCCTCCTTAGTTTGTGTCCTTGAACCTCTTCCCAGCTACTGAGTCATTGTTACAGCAGAGCAAACACCTCCTCTGCCAGTTCAGGTGAAGCGAAAAGAAATTTGGTGACTTCTGCTAAAAACTGCTTTGCAAACCTAGTGCCACTCTGAAGAATTTTTGCTTAGTTCTTGGTTTAGTTTTATTGAGATGCAATCAACATATAATTTTTTTAGTTTTGAGTGTACAACATAATGGTTTCATATATGTATATATTGGGAAGTGATCACCACAATAAATTTAGTTAACATCACCACACAGTTAAAATTATTCTCTTGTGATGAAAGTTTTAAAGATTTATATCGGATGGTTTCACTTATCTGTGGAATATAAATACTCAAAAAACATTTATATGCAAAGAATAGCAGGGATAAATCTTGAACTCAGCAAAAGGGATATGATGGTTGCCAGAGAAAGGAGGGGGAAGGGGGAAGGTAAATGTGGTAGGGCACAGATGGTTTGGTGGAGGGTGATAAATTTAAAAAAAAAATTATGCTCTCTCAGCAAACTTCGAATATACATTACAGAGCTGTTAATTATAGCCACCTTGCTGTACATTACATCTCCCGGGACTGACTGACTTTACAGCTGTAAGTTAGCACCTTTTGGCCATCTTACCCATTTCAGCCACCCCTCACCCCACCTCTGGCACGTGCCCGAATCTCTACTGTGTATCTCGAGTTTTTTGATTTTCACATAAAAATAAGATTATGTAATTATTCTCTTTTTGTGTCTGACATATTTTACTTAATCTTTAGGTTGCTTCCATGGCCCAGCTATTGTAAATAGTTCTTCAGTAAGCACTGTAGAGCATACAGTTCCCATCTTAAGTTGACTGTTTCGTGTTCTTTACATGAATGCCCGGGAGTGGGATTGCAGGGTCATGTCATATTTCCATTTTAGCTTAAGGTAAATCCAGGTTGCTTTCCAAGATGGTGGGCCAGTTTATAGTCCCTCCAGCAGTAATAGAGTTCTTTCTCCACATCCTCTCCAGCATTCTTTTGGGTTATTTTTTTAAATATGTGCCATTCTCTCAACCTGATAATGTGATTTTAACTGTCATCTCCCATGTTAAAAGCAATGATGAACGTTTTTCTGTGTATCTATTGGGTTTGTGCACATCCTCTTCAGCGAATTGTCTGTTCAGATCTGCTGCCCATTTATTGGATTTTTTAAATTGCTAAATTGTGCGAGCTTTTTATCTTGGATGTTAACTCCTTGTCAATTATATATTATGACTGCTTTCTCTCCTTCAGTAAGATGTCTCTTTAATCTACTTGTATTTACTTTCACTGAGTAAAAACCTTTGCAATTTGAGATAATACCGATTATTTTTGCTTTCATTTTTTTTATTTTTGCTTTCCTTGGCTATAGGGGTTGAATCTCCCAAACCATCTTTCTAATTGATGTTATGAACCGTATTATCAATGTTTTCTTCTGTATATTTTTGCAGATCTTATGTCTAAATATTTAATCCAATTGGAATTTATTTTTAGTGCTTGGAGTTAGAATGATTCAACTTCATTCTTTTACGTGTGGCTGTCCAGTTTTCCAAGCATTATTTGTTAGACTTTCCTTTCCCCATTGTATAGTTGTGATTCCTTTATCATAAATTCAGTATTGCTGTGTTATGTGAATACATTTCTGGACTTTTGATTATTTCCATTGATGTGTCTATTTTTTGCTCCAATACCATGTTTTAATTACTGTTGCCTTATGGTATAAAGCCAGATGATGTGTTTTTTTGCCTAAGGTTAGCTTTTGCTATTAAGGCCTTTTATGCTTCCATGTAAATTTTGATATTTTTGTTGTTTCTTGGAAAATATTTTCATGGGCATTGTGTTAAATTTATATATTGGTTTAAGTATAATAGTCATTTTGATTATATTGATGCTCCCCACCCATCAGCATAGAATGTCTTTCCAAATCCTATGTAACATACAAGAACTTTAATAAGATTTATAGGTCATTTACCTTCTTAATTAATACCACGATACTTGATTCTTTTTGAAGTGATTATTGTTTTTGGATTTTTTTGCTTGCTTGTTTGCTCTTTTTTGCATAGAAGAATGTGGGTGTAGGCCAGAGGTGAGGTAGTGAGAGGATTCACCAGAGATAGAGTGGAGAGCAGAATGGGCAGATCTACTGAAATACACTGCTGAGTGGAGCAGCAGGTGAAACAGGAGAGGTCTGCTGAGCCATATGTGGGTCAGCAACCTGGCAAACTGAGGCTATAGTAGTGATAGCACTGAATCTTAATCCCTAGGCCACCAGGGAGTCCCCATGAAGATTGTGAATGGAATCATTAAAGATTTCTTTTTTCATTCATTGGTTGAAAAATGTAGTGGATTATTGTATACTGACTTTGTAACCCTGCCATTATGCTGTATTCATTTATAAGCTTTTTGGTGGGGTCTCTAAGTTTTCTATATATTGTGTCATATCTGAAAATCAGTTTCATTTCTTTTCCAACATGGATACCTTTTATTCCCTATTGGTATCTAATTGCTCTAGCTAAAGTCTCTAACACTCAAGAGAATTGTCAGTGAACATCCTTGTTCTGATCTTGAAGGTAAACTTTCGATTTTTCACCATTAAGTAATACATTGACAGTAGGTTTGTCGGTCAGTTTAAGTTTGGCCTTTACTCTGTCGAGATAGGTTGCTTCTGTTCCCATCTTGTTTAGAGTTTTTATTATAAATAGGTGCTGAATTTTGTCAAACTCTTTCTCTGAACCTGTTGATGTTATAATTTTTATCTTCACTGTTACTATTACATTGCTTGATTTACGTATAATAAACCATCCTTATATACCTGGGGTAAATCCCACTTGATCATGATATATATTGTTGGGTTATATTTTCTAGAATTTTGTTGGGGATACAACGTTCATCAGGGATATTGGTCTGTAATTTTCCTGTACTGTCTCTCTCACTTTGGTGTTAAGGTAATTTTGGCATCATAAAATTAGGAAAATGTTCTCTCTCCTTGGATTTTTTTAAAAATATCTTGAGCAAGATGAGAATACATATCTTGCTCAGGTTATTTTTAAATATATATATGTGTGTGTGTATACACACACACATATAAAGGTTTGATAGAATTCACTTGTAAGGCTGTCTGAGCCTTGTCTTCTATTTTGGGGGAGATTTTTTAATTACGTTTTGAATTTCCATGATTGTGATTTGTTTGTTTAGCTCCTCCTGGTTTAGTCTTGGTAAATTATATTAATCTAGAATTTATTTCTACAAAGTTGTCAAATTTATTGGCATATAAGTCAGAGATATATCTACTTTATTTATATGCATTGAAGAACTTTTGGTTTCGTTGATCCTTTGTATAGCTTTTTCGGTCTCTATTTTTTCATGCTCTGTATTATTTTTTCTACTAATCTGAGTGGTCTTTGTTACTCTTTTACAAGTTGCTTTAGGAGTATTAAATTGATTTGGGGGATTTTTCTTGCTGCTTAATGTGGACCAATATTGCAATTCTTGCCTCTTACGTGTTTTTGCTACCAGAATCCCATAGATTCTGGTAATTATTGCCTCATTATTATTCTCAAGGTATTTTTTAGGTTCTGCTTTAATTTATTCTCTGGCTATTAAATAGCATATTTAGTCTCCATGTTTTTATGGTTTTTCTGAGGTTTCTTGTATTTGTTTTTATGGAAGATGGTCAGAAGGAGTACTTGGTATTATTTTAATCTCTGTACTTTGCTGACTTATGTCCCATCATATTATCTATTCAAAATGTTGCATGTGCACTTGAAAGAAATAGCTATGTGCTAATTTGGGGTTTAAGTGTTCTGATATTCTGTTAAAATTACTTGGTCTAGCTCTTCACTTTTAGGTTATTTCCTTTTTAATCCTGTCTTTTTAGTCTGCCCATAGTTGTAAATGAGTATTAAAAACCTCTAGTGTTACTGTGTTGTCAGTCTCTCTCTAGTTGGTAGTAATTGTCTTATGTATCTTTGTGCTTTGTCATTGTATATACATTCATGAGTATTTTATTGTTTTATTAGCCCTTAATTATAATTTGATATCTACCTTTATTGTTAGCTTTTTTACTTGAAAGTTAATCTATCAGATATAGCTGTTCTTGACTTTTTGGTTGTCATTTGCTTGTAGGATTGTCTTCTAGTCTTTAATTCTAAAGTCTCCTTTGTTGATTAGATGGGTTTCCTGAAAACACTGGAAGGTTAGATTTTGTTTTGAAATGAATTCAGCCACTGTATATCCTTTAGTGAATTTGGGCTATTTATGTTTAAGGTAATTATGACACATAAGTGCTCATTGTCCTTTTTTTTCTTTTTTGGTTTGGCTTTTTATTTTTTGATATCATCCTCTTATGTTTTGTTTAGGTTCCATTTCCTTCATTTCTCTTAGTTTATAGTTTTGAGTTCTCTCTAACCTTGTGGATCTCATGGACCCAAGCCTCATTGGCATTTAGAGCTAGATGGTTTGGGGCCCCATCTCTTAGATGGAAATCTTCTAAGTTGGGGTCCCAGATAAGGGGCCCAAATCTTTCACTCCTCAGGGAGAAGCTAAGTATGAGAGTTCCCTCCCAGTTGTGAGTGCACCAAGGTGAGTTTTATGGCAAGATTGTGTGTCAGCCTCTCTTAATTACTTCAGTGTTCAGTTGTCATTCCTCTAGTTTCTAACTTCAGAGTGAATTATTCCATTTGTATCTATAAATCCAGTGTGTCTACAGGGAGCGGGGGAGACAGTGAGTTTAGGAGTTCCCTCTGTCTCCTAAACTCACTACCAGAGTTTTGTAGATAATTATCAGTTTTTTCATTGGGGGAATCTGAAAAATGGTAAATAGTGCCTCTGAGATGCTTTGATATCCCTCTGCTCTCTCCCTATCCCTGACCTAATACTAAGCTGCTTTGTGATTCTAGAAAAATAACTGTGTGCTTCCTGAGGATGTGAAGAATTTTTACCTGATGACCAATGGCTTCCAGATGACATGGAGTGTAAAGCTAGATGGTGAGTCAGTCTCCATGCTTTAAGGGAATGCTTTCTTGCCTGTAAGATTAGGTGAACAATTTTGAGAGGCTTTACACTTTTGCCTCTGCCTCTTGGGGTCCCTTTTTTTGTTTATTTGCAGAGCTTTTCTCCTCTCACACTGACCAGAGTTATTTTTCCATATCTTACTACTGCACTTTTAGCATGAACTTTTAGGTTAGAATTACTTCTGCTAATGACTTTGGAGCCATTATTGTCACCAGAATCACATCCCTCCTTATGTAATATGGCCTTTGGAATCAGGAGTAGACAGATTAAACTGGTAATCATGGAGACAGGCTAGCCCTTTCACAAGCCTGCATCAGAGAAGAGACATTTCATGAAAGTATTATAGATGAAGAATGTTCATTATTTTAATACTTTCTCTAATATAGTCCTCCCAACTCATTTTCTTACCCATATTACCATACCCATTCATGAGTGCATTGCTAACAGTAATTGAAAAGTCAGTAACAGAAAAGACAACAGAGGAGGTTCTCTTTAGCAGTCATTTCTTCTTAGATACCAACTGTTTATTGTCTTCTGACATCCCAGTTTTTTCAACAGTCAGTTACAAGGATGCAATATAACAGATAAAGAAAATATGTAGTCTGCTTGTTTTCTACCCTACTTACTAAAGACTAGAATCAAGCAAAAAGGATGACAAGTAGATATTTTCCATCATAGAAGTTTATAAACAGAATAATATATAATTATTATATAGTATATCACTTCTAATCAAAGCTGGGACTCCCTTGGAGTGCATGACTCTTCATATGAGGGGAAGAACATGTGAAAGCATTTTTTAAATCTTTTACTCTTCAAACAGGGTACTGTAGTTTAAATTTTCCACTTCTTTTTGAGCATCCCCTTTTGAAGTTTTCTTTAATACTCCACCAAAACACATGCATGAGGAATTCTTCACCCCAGTTGGTTTTCTTCACATGAAAATGTTGCTTTGGGCTATAGAATATATGGATCCTCTTCATTCCACTTTTCATCACATTCCTCAACCCTGGAATGAAACAATAGCTCGGTCTAGGTTACTCAAGCAGAAGCCATTGTGACCATGATAGCTAGACATTACTCAACGTAATTCTTTTTAATGTTCCCATAGAGCACATTGTTCCATTGGGCAGCATGGCAATTAACAGCATCTCAAAGCTGACACAACTCAACCAATCTTCTATGTATTCACTTCCTAATGCACCAACTCTGGCAGATCTGGAGGATGACACACAAGAAGGTACCTGAGAAATTTCTGCTTTGTGTTTAAAATCAGTCTTTTTCATAATGTTGAAAACCATGGGAAGTCATTCTGGCATTGTAATCTTTTCCCCCAAATCCCTCCTATTCATGACTTCTTAGGACCATTAAAGTTGAAACAGCCTGTATCAACAAAAGAAATTTTCATGAAGATAATTCCAGGCTTAATTCTAGCACCTACTTCACTGCCTTGCACATAAGTGAATGCATGCTGTAGATTAATCTTTATTCAACATTTTCAGTATCAAAAGGTTTTATGGAACATGATAATCTAAATGCAACTGACTGTAAGAAAGTGCTTCTTTGATCAGAATTGTGCTTGGCATCATATGAGACTCAATTACAGAGTCTAAACTAGGTTGTTTGAGAAAATCAATTATAAAGCTGTGGTTTCTTAGTGCATCAGCCTTTAAGTATGGTTTTTATCCTCAAGAGGTCTTTACATCCAAGCTTCAGGTATATGTTTCAGACAGGAAGAAATAGTATAAACGGTAAAGGGCCAAAATAAAACCTGTCTTTTGGCAGGATTTCTTCCTTTTTATCAGAATAATAGTTTTCTCAAAAGCCCTCCCAAGTGGCCTTTGACCAGAGTCAGTGGCTCACTCATAGCTACAAAGAAGTATGAAGAGGTGAGAATTTTAACTGTGCAATATTGCCTTCTCAAACAGTGTTGGGGTTTTTAAGAAAGAAGAAAATGGGGAATGAATATTGAATAGGCAACTAGCATCTTCAGTGCTAAGGCCTTGGGGTACAACACAGGCTAAATGCTGCCCTAGTTCTACCTAACAGATGTTAAGTGCAAGATCTTAAAGGTATGTCTTCAAGTAATATAACTGTGGCTCAGAACAAAATCAATATTTGCAGATATGGAAAAATATCCAGCTCTCAAACAATGCAAACTTAACAATTTTGCATTAACAAGATAGCAAAAAACACAGAAAATAATCAACACAATTTAGAATCAGCAGATAAAGACAGTGAAACACGTAGATTACTAGATTTTGTGTAAAAGTAAATTAGTGCAGGCATGAAAATGGGGATAGGTCCACATTTAATTTCTACTAGAGATGAAAAATACACTAAGTGGGGATTAATAGTGACCTAATGCTAAAGAAAAGTATGGTGACATAATAGATAACTATCCAAAATAACAAAGAAAAAAATACCTTTACACCATTTGTTGCCCTTCAGTTCATTAATTTATGTGTATCCATGGAAACTTGACCATATCCAAGAAGTTTAGCGATTCTTTAAAAAATTGCTCAAAATCAGGAGAAAATCTTATAAGTAGTGAATAGATACAGTATATTTCTCATTGGGAACAATTTAAGCAAAATAAATTATGCAAAAAGCCATCAACTTAGAATTCTGTATTCACGATAGCACTTTTCAAAAACACTGACACATACAAGGAATCTGTCCATATAATGAAGGCACCAGGACATAAGAACGTGTTCAGAAATGGTTATTGTGGCATTGACGGCAGAATAAATTAGGGTACATCCCTTCCCACAGACTATCAGGCAGCCATTAAAAAAAATTTTAATTACAAATTAAAATTTAATGTGTAATATTCCATTTTTACACAATAAAACAATCTTAAGACAAAATTTAAATGTATACCTGTATGTCTGCCTAGGACCAATGAAAAAAGAATATGAATGTGTAGCCTCCAAGAGGTTTTTAAATCAGAAATATTAATGCATTTTTATAAAATTATATAAGTCATTTACCTTGTTGTATCCAGTCTTTCATAGGCTTATAAACTTTCTTCACCTCAGTCAACTAATAGTTTTTATTGCAGAATAGCTGAAATGAAAGAGGTTTCTGATGTTTGCATTTCAAAGAACTTATTTCTCCGTGATGTTAGGTTTCTAGGTTGGTATTTTTAGCTGAGCCAGATTTGGCATTAATTATAATTAGTAATATTATAGTTAAATATTTTATACATTTTAGACAGGAAGAAAGATTCTAATCAAAAAATCATAATACTATTAAAAAAGGGAAAGCAACTGCCTGGGAAAAAGGTTATGTCAACATCAGCCCTTCAGATTACTCTATGTAGACCCACTCCCGAGAAGTTCAGTTTGTTTTCCTCATGTCACCTTTCATTTGGTTCACATTTTAAAGTGATTGAGAATATGTGAGATATCTTTCCATCCCAGCAAAGCCCAGTGAACATGTATGTGTTTGAATCGAATATGTTTAAACATTACCTCTGGGTTTGCAGCCAGTGAGAACCAACCAGAGAAGCCTCACTTTGATTCTCGCAGTGTGATATTTGAGCTGGATCCTTGCAATGGAAATGGGAAGGTTTGCCTTGTCTACAAAAGAGGAAAACCAGGTAAGCATCATTGACAAGCATAGTCCTACAGTATGGCCTGTGTTGATCTTGCTTTCTAGCAATTATACAAAAGGTACAATCCTACATGGCCTCCTGAGATGCCACCAGTCCTCTTATAGGTACCACTCTAAGCATCCCCTTCTAGACCAATCAGTAGAGTCTTTCTGAGCTGTCATCACTTGTAAGTTACTGTAAAATAGTCAGTGGTATTAGGGTAAGTGAGTAAAAACTGAAAGCCATTCTATTTTTGGACTCATCCAGCAGGATCATGCATTTGAAAAGCATCCAAGAAAATCATTATCTTCTATGCTTCTCCAAGTAGGTCTGTTAACAGCAATAAATTCCTGAATTACTAGACCTCAATACCAGACCCCAGATGGAAATGAAGACAAAAAGGCTCTGGCCCCCTAACAGCAGTTCAGATTTTAGCCTAGGGACTGTGGAGAACTGGAGAAGACGTAGCCCTCTTCAAGTGGTTCTCTGGTAGCAGTAAGATCATCTCCAGCAGAAGGAATCTTAGTGAGGTAGCCTATTAGTTGCATCTTAAACATAGGTAGGAATAGATGTTGGGGGGGTGGGTAGGGGAGGAGAATTACAAGGGGCATCCAGACAGAGTCAAGGATAAAAACCACGCAGGGAAGTGCAACTGATTTGACGGGAATGGCAATTCCAATTCATTGGGCCTCGTGGCTGTAGATGAGAGGCCAGAATGCCAGTTGTTCTCCTTTCTGCAGAGTTTTGAGAGCCAGGAGGAGGAGTTTGCACTTAGAGTGGAAGACAGTGGAGAGTCAAGGTTGTTTAGCAGATGACAGAATTAAAATGGAAATATATGTACAAGCAGTTCTGGAAAAGTAAGAGACTGAAAACTGAAAGTCACTTAGGGGAGATGTCCCAGCCATTAAACAGGAGAAAACCTAGGAGAGTTCTACTGTGGTGAACTGGAAAGTCAGACGTGTAAGTCTGAGTTAGAAGCTGGTATGACAGTGTCTGCTTCAGCTCAGCAAGGTCATAACATAGCAGCATAGTCAGGATTCCTTGGAGAGGGAGTTGATCTGGGCTCCTCCAGGTTGATTTCTGACTGCTCTTTCCTGGCTGAGTCCTCTTTAGAAAACTGGAGCCATTCAGAGCTGCTCTCTGTCAAGAAAGCTGAAACTACAGTATGTCCCCACTTGGGTGAGGGGAATGCTGATTGTACACAAAAGGAAGAGCTGTTTAGGTCACTTGAATGCACGCATCAGTTGACTAATGAAGAACTTGTAAATCAACCGAAGAAACAGTAGCCATTGGAGAATGGGGCAGGGAGGTTAGAGGGAACTTTATATTTTACATTCTCTCCAGTATTAGAATTTTTTTTGACCATTAGTATATATGGACTTTAAAAGTAGAAAAGGTGTCATTATCTCTTCATTTATTTGCTTTATCTGCTATTTCAGCATTAGCACAGGACACAGAGATCTGGTTCCTGGACAGAGCATTATACTGGCATTTTCTGACAGACACCTTTACTGCCTATTATCGCATGCTCCTCACCCACCTAGGCCTGCCCCAGTGGCAGTATGCCTTCACCAGCTATGGAGTTAGTCCACAGGCCAAGGTAAGGGAGAAATACTTACTGTCTCAAATTCAGATTCGTCTGAAAATGCTCAAGTTGTACATCCCCAGCTTTTCCAATCCGATTCAGGAGATCTGGGATGGAGCCCGGGAACCTGCATTTTCAGTAAGGAAGGCAGGAATTCCAATATATGTAGATAAGTTCACTTTATACTGATCTAGTTAATTGGTTCTCAAACTTGGATGGTCCTCAGATTTACCTGGGAGTTTTATGTCCAAGTTTATTGGGTTCTTAGGCATACATACACATGAGTAGAGCAGAAAATCAGCCTCTTTCCTGGTAGCCTCCCAGTACACTTCACCACAGGCAGCCTCTGATATTTCTTGTGTGCCCTTCACAAGATAAAGCATGCATGTGTATGGTTATGGGTTGCATTTTCTAAAGCACAAACAATATAATTCACATTGTTCTGCACCTTGTACTTTACGCTAACGCTCCACCTTGGAACTCTTTCCCTGTGAGTACATATGGAGCTATTCTCTTATTCCACTGTAAGGATATACTCACTTTATATTACAGGTCAAGGCAACATTTCAAAAATATAGATGTCAGGTAATGCTGAGAGATTTCCTGGTCTGACAACTGGTGTGTTTGGAAGAACTTTTGATTGGGTGGCAGTAAAGGTAGGGACTAGCTCCATGTGGACCTCACTTTCTTCAAATGTTACTTAACGGTAACATCCACTCACATTGTGAGATGACTATGATCAATGAAAGATGATACTCTTTTCCCTTTCTGGGCAACTAAAGGCAGAGACTCCCCAATACCGGCAGCTACCGGCAGCTTTCCTCAGCAGAGGCCTGCGCTGGCCTCTGTCATGCCCCCTTCCCTATGCGCAGGAGCTAATTTGAGGGCAGAACCAATGGAACACTGTCCCCTGATGGTTAGGGGTTTAGGGCTCTCTAGATAAGGAAGGAACTTTATTCATTGCATTTAATTTAAATGAGACTTAACAGAACAATGAGTATGTCTTCACTTGAACAAATTGACTTTCAAGGTGGTTGTTCATAACCTTTTTCTGCGCAGCTCTCAACCTCTGTATCTCCAGTATAGATCATAAACCATGGAATTTCTCATTTAAACTGTGACCCTCTCAATTCTGCCTTACAGCAGTGGTTCAACATGTATAAACCCATCACCTACAACACTGACCTTCTCACCGAAGAGACTGACTCCTTTGTCAACAAGCTGGATCCCAGCAAAGTATTCAAGAGCAAGAACAAGATCTTAATTCCAAAAAAGAAAGGACCTGTTCAGCCTCCTGTTGGTAGCCAGAAAGTGCCCTCAGCACCTTCTTCTACCACCAAACCATCCTCAGCCTCTGGAAACCCAGTCCGGAAATGAGTGCCCCACCTACCTGCCTAGCACCACAGTTATGACTTCCATGCACTGTGCCCAGGGGTGGTCCCAGCCTCAGAGCCTGTGTGAGGAGCCAGAGGCCTCTACTCATAGGAATAACAAAAATCCTGCACCTTTTATTCCCATTGGCTTTAGCCAGGAGTTGAAAGGAACTATTTGGGTCTCCCCAAGGTCCTTTCTGATAACCCGAGTAGCATGTGATGCTACCCCTGCCTCTAGAGGCTGGGCAGGATCTCACATGGTATTTGAGTGGCTAAATATGTTTTTTTTTTTTTTTTTTTACCTCTAATTCCCTACCCCTCATCAGTGATTTAGAAAACTCCCTCAAAGAAACCACTGAAGCATTAGAATTGCACTCACTGTTCATTTGGTAGCCACTAGCCATATGTGGCTATTTAGATTTATATTAAAAATTCAGTTCCTCAAATGCATTAGCCACATTTCAAGCATTCATGTGGCTAGTGGATTCTGTTAGTATAGAGATACTAGAACATTTCCATAATCAGAGGAGGTTATACTGGACACTACTGCATTTGAATATTTTCATATTGCTCTCTCTCAGATCAGTTCAGTTTTTAAGAGAATGTTGACACCTTTGGTGAGTCACAATGTTCCATGAAAATTCTTGACACGATTGTATGTTCTTTATATCTTTCAACACAAATCTCACTCTGCCAGTTTATCAGTTTCTTATAAAGTTTCTTGCTTCCAATTTTGTGTTGTGATATTGACATATCTGCCAAAAGTTATGAGATGATTCTGCTGTACTTTAAACACATAAAACAAAAAAACTCCCAAATACTGCTTTCAAGAGTTTTGATGAAATTAGTCACTGTTGACAAGAGCTTTCCACCTCTTCAACAAAAAAATTAACATGCACTTACCTTGATTCAGAACTCTGATGGAGCATGTACCCACTGGAATTCTGTGCTCCCGGGGCAGCATGAAGGCTATAAGCAAATGGAGAGTTAAGGATAAAAAAATTAACAGGGTAGCAGAAAAGGATGGCGAGGAACTGAGTTGTTAAGGATAATAGCTGAAATTTAGTCTCCAGAATTACTCTCTCAGAACTGATCAAAGGAAGCAGCACCAGAGAGGAGAGTTCAGCACACAGGTGCTTCTCCAAGACAAGTGACAGAAAGGGACTGAGCAGTCATGTCATCTCCCACTGTGGAAGGTACCCTTCCTCTCGTACTTGTAAAGCCCCTGGATTACTTCTAAATCAGTCCAGGTTCAGGTCACAGTGAACTAGATTTCACAAATGAAGAGGGAACTAGGAGGGCAAAGGTGCTTTTGAAGTCAGTCTTAGTTCTCAAAGGGCTGCAGATGGAAGGGGTTCTGGTGAGGAAAGACTCAAGACTGTGCAGAAGGCAGAGCAGCAGAGGATAGCACTGACTACCTCACAGGTAGGACACAGTGAAAAATGATGTGGGATCCTTGTCCAAAAATCAGAACAAAGGTACTAGGGTGTATTTCCATTTTTCCATAGTCTCACAGCTTAAAATGGTATTTTATTTGCTACCTAATGCTGTTCTGAGAATTATTAAAATGTTAAATTATTAGCATTAACTTTATCATGCATCTTTATATGGTGCTACTCTAGATTAAAATGCAGAGTATTTACCTCATATGCAGAATCACCAAAATTGCATTTTGTATTCAATAGCTTATGTAAACATACTGTATGCTTACTATAACAGTGGAGACCACACACAAAACTAGCTTAACATTTCACTTCTTCATATGTACACATTCTGTCAAAACTCTTGCAGCTTAGTGATGAGTAAGAAAGGACTTGGATAGAAAAACAGATTCTCTGTCTTCGCTTCCCTTTTGTCATTTTCAACACAATGATGGCTAATGCAGAAAAGTAATTTAAGTAAAAAAGGATATGATAGGAGTCTGTGATGCCATCACTACCTTTCTGCATCCAATCAACTCTGATTCCAATGAAAAGCATGGCCTCTTGGAGCTCTCGGTGCTCCCACTACTCAGTGGTAGGCATAACATGCGTTCTGTGTAACTTACCTTGAGTCTGAATGCTGATAGGTCATGGATCCACTGGAACTCCGTGTCCATGGGGCATCACAAAGGCTATAAGCAAAGGTAGAGGTAAGAACAGGTACACATATTGCAGGTATTTCCTCTGCTGTTTGTATGCTCTGTCTTAGCAGATTTCAAGACAGTAACAGAAGAGCATTAAGCCAGTTGTGAGACCTTTCTGAGTGTGGGCCCTGTGTGACTGTGCAGATCACCCACCCATGAAACGGGCCCTGGTGATAGAGGGAACACTCCCAGCAAAATATTTGGCAACATGTGGGCTGAATGGGTTACATGAGGAGAAAACTCGCCCATGAGATTTATGTTTATACAGTTAAAATGGCAACAGGCTCTACTACAAATCAACTGTCCAAGGTAAAAAACAACACTGGAATCACAAAATAAGAATGGCAGGATGCCTCGTGATGCACTGACATTCAAGATGGTGCCAAGAGAGTGCACATCATCGGGCTGCTTGTGTCCTACAACAGGGAAGCACCCAAACATGGGGGGAAACAGCAAGGGGCTTTAAGCACATGGTGATCCCATGAAACTGTGCTTCCCAAACTCAGTGTCACCAGAATGTGTGTAGAAAAGTAGATGCCCATATCCCTATCCAGACCTACAAATTACTAGGAAAAAATTCCAGGCATCAGGACTGTTAACCAACTGAAATGGTGACACTAATGCTTACCAAGTACAAAATTTTTAGTTAGCAGATATGGTAGTTTTGCTTTCATGGATAACTCAAACTCTATTTTTAATCCAGTAAAGCATGCCCACTGACTGGCACAGAAGAACCAAGTGACCATTTTAGTTTTGTGTAGATTCCATGTCTTTTAAAAACATTTTACTATGGAGAATCAAACATTTACAATGTTTAAAAGAATAGTGTAATGAACCCCTGTGTTTGACTCCTAACCAATCTACCTGTTTTTTATTCCAACTAATTTTTTTAGTAGTTCCATTTTAAATTATTGTTATACCTTTTTGCATTGTATTTTAACAGTTGCTCCCAAGTTTACAATGTATTTCTCATCAGTAGAGTAACTTACTCATACATGGGGTCCTTAGTACCTTAGAGCCTAGGCAGGGCAGGGACACAAACATATTTGGGTAGATTAACTCTGGCCCCTTGACTCTAGTCCAAATTGGCTGCACTTTTATTCTTGGGATCTTGTATAACTGTCCTTAGGCATAAGCCAGCCCATACTGGGTTGTTTTTCCAGGCAAGCATTCTGTGCTTAACACACAGTCTCCGTTATGGAGGTTATTGTGAGCTAATACATGGGTGAGAATTCAGAAAAGCTTGTCCCTTCAGCCATCAGCCTTTCTTTCTAGCTATGAACTTTCTAAACAACCCATTGAATCTGCCTCCTCCACTCACTTCTTGCTGTACACCAGTGTGGTTTTGTTTTCACTTAGTTTCCTGCCTACCATTACCCATCAGATGTTCTTCCTCTTCTTCCCAGGGTTCAGCTCCAGTCTACTTATGAGCCCCAGTTCACAAGAAGAGCTCTCTTTGGGATGGAGAGCTTCATATCAGTACCATTTGGTTAAATTTTGGTCATCTTACCTCGTTCCTCACCTTCAGAGATTCCTGCGACAGGGCTTTGTGTTACTCTGGCAAGCCATTCTGCATGGTGTGGAACCCCAAGCACTATTAACAAATAAAACTTAGAATAAATTAATACATCATGGTGTGCTAAATCAAGAGTTGCCTCATACTTAAGTCCTGATTAGGCCAATAGATAAAGATAACAAGCAGAATCATTGAGCAAAAAAGATGTAAAAAAAGATGCTACACATTTACACGACTTGTACAAAGGGCAAGTAAATTTGGGAGGTAGGACATTAGTACAGTTCACAGACCACCTCTGACAGGAGACCCTGCCATAATGAAATACATGGTCAACATTCTAATGTTTTGGCAACCAAAAATTATCTCCCAGATTCTCTCTTGCCACTCATGGCTGTGGCTAAAGGTCTTTTCAGACCATGAACCTTGATTTGTGGTTTCAGAAATGGAATCTTTGTGATTACACATCCTATATTTCCTACAGCACCTAGGCCTTACCCAGTACCCCCTCTTGGTAAACAATGCAGCATGTGAAATGAATGTAACCTTCTACCTGGGCATTTTCAATAGCTGCCCGATTTGTGTCACATGGATCATCTGTTGTGAGCAGGCCTTCCAGATGGTAAGGGTGAAATGCAGTAGCGAGGACCAGATAAGAGAAAAGCATGGTAAAAACACCACAGGAACTGAAGTGGTGCTTTATAAAGCTTTGCTGTGAGGTGGATTAGCAGCTGGAGACGCGCTCTTTGCTGTGGTGGCTATCACAGGGCTGTGCACACAGGCCTGATGTGGCCTCTGCTGAGGAGAGCGCACATCTGGAGATGGAGTGTTTGTGGGGAAGAGTGTGTCTCTGAGAGCGCTGATTATCAATCACACAGAACTCCCTCATTTAAGGACAAGAATTCCCAAGGCTCAGAACACATTGTATGGGAGAGGAGAGACATTTCTTCTTGATGAAGTGAAGAGCAGTCCAAAGCAATTTTACATGCAAATTTCACATAATAAAACATTTGAGTAAACAAAGTACATACAATGTGTATTCTTTCAGACCTGTGTTAGCAAGTCCTCTAGCAACTAACCACTGCTGCCACTTAAAATCAAGATTTTAAAATCTGTTGGACAGTCTGTATACAACCACATTTCAAGTGTTGATTTATGTCTAGTGGCTGCCATATTGAAGAGTGCATACACAGAACATTTCTATCACAGAAATTTCTATTGAGCAGCCCTATTGTATGGCCTGTCTACATTACAATTCTCAGTCTGCCCTTTTCTGACACACAGCCTGTACGTATTCTGCAACTCCTGGCTCACCAGGAAAGCTAAGGAGGAGTCAGCTGCCATGGCACAGCTCGGAAAAGGGGCGGCAGTCATGGCAACTGAGTGGGCACTACTGCCTCTGGCTTTGCCCCACAGTAGTCACAGGCCAAAGCTGCTCAGCCCTTAGGCTGCTGCAGTCTCCAGGGTCAGAACATGATAAAGGAACAAGTTTTCTGCATCTTAAAGCAGCTAGCCTTATCTCTGCTTTCTCAGGGAGCAGGAGGCCTGGCTTTGGAAACACCCTCCTGAGCTCAGAAATAATCACTCAAGAAATGACATTTCTCAAAGTACCTGCTATTTCTCTGGAGATCAGTTACATTTTTCTTTTTTCACAAACATCAGACAAAGAATACTTGAGAGACCAATGAGGACAGAGACACTATCAGCTCCCAAAATAATTCAAGGCCGACATAAGGGAGAGAGATCTCACCCATCAAAACTGAAAATGAGGAAAAAACTAAAGGACAAGATTAAACCTCTGGAGAACAGCTTACCTTTAACTTTTGCACCAGTTCCCAACCATAGAGATGGAGGTAGAGACTGCACTTCAGAGTCTGCTTTTTAAATGCCTGGTTAATAAGGCACATTTCCCACACGTGACTTTAGCCATATGGCCACACAGACTCTGGGACAGTGTTGGGCTCTAGAATATAGGTGTCCTGAAAAATAACAAGAAAAAACTTTGCCTTTAAGATTTTGATTCTAAAACAGACTGCTGTGGCCTCAGTTACTAAAATCACAAATCATGTTTTTAGGCCATTACAAAATAGGCCTTCAATGTTATATCAATTTAGAGCAGGAAGAATTCAGTCAAGCATAAATTCAAAAATTTGTTCTGCAACGTTTTTTCATAAACATAAGCTTACAAAGTTTAACAACAGTGAATTCATATATACATATGTTGATTTAAGAAGTTGTCTAAATTTATACAGCCTTTACAATTTCAAGATAATTTTGCTGCCAAAAAGAGACAAGTTCTTTTTCCATACCCCCTGCAGAGAGAGACGGCTGGTTTAGAACCCATCTTTTTTCATTGAGACTGCATTTCTGAGGATGGCTGAGCTAGAAACAACCTCCTTTATTCCTTTGTCCTTCCAATCTTCTGCTTAACCTAAGCCAAGAAGGACTCTGACATTGATTGAATTGCTCTAATTATATAGCCAGGTCTACTACCAGCTGCTGTGTGCTGAGTTCCAGTCAATGACCCGCCTAAATCAGCATTATCAGCAAGCACACCTTCTTTCAGGGACTGCATAAAGCAGCTACCAAAGCTTCCCCAGGTTGCTAGCTCTGCATAGATATATAGCTACCACATCTTTTCTTATTTGAAAATTGGGGGTTACAAAAATCTATTGCATGGGGCATGTAAATCGAATGCCGTTGGGGAAGGGTGACTGCTTCCATCTCCGAACCTGCTGCACTGCCCAAAAGAGACTGGCTGGCCCTCAGCAGAGCCTGTCCCAGAGCGGGGGAGGTTCAGAAGCACTGCTAGGCAGGTGCTCTTAAGGGGCAGGGGTTCTCTCAGAGAAAATGAACTTAAAATTGACTTTCTGAAAGAACAAAAAAAACAAGGCCTCTTCTTAGCTGGGCCAACTGAATACTCCAAGTGCAGTTATCTATTCTAGCCCAGAAAAAGCCACTGCTGACCCAGAGCAACTGAATGCTTCCCGCTTACCTTGTGGTTGATTTAAGGCCTTACCTGTAACGCACTGTGCAGGTTCTCTGGGGAACGTATTTTGTATTTGACAAGACCCATTTCTTCCTGTTTCCACCTAACTCAGATAACTTGTAGTATATCAAAATAGAAGAAAATGCATTAAATAGAAACCAACTGATGAACCCTTGTAAGTGGGAGATGAGGAGGTGTGCTTGACTCTCTGCAGACATGGGGACTGGCACATGCAAGCCACTTCCTGCCCCACCAGCCACCAACCTGCACCATCGAGCCCTGGAGGCACAGCAAGTCCGACAAGTGGTCCTACAGGCCGTGGGTTGTAGTGTCCCAGCCCCTCCTCAGGGAGGGTCAGAATGTGCTGTTTTCATCATCAGGTGGTGCTTCTGCTTACCCAGCCTATTTAATTTTTCTGTGCATGGAACATCCTACTTTTAAATTACAAAACATTCCGGAAGAAAATCATTGTCACTAATCTAGTAGTTAGGAACAATTTCCACGATGTCAGCAGCTGAAATAGTGTTTGAACTACAAATTCCCAAACTCATAAATCTGTACTTTTTCAGGTGGATCTTAAATTTTTTTAATTAACAGTGCTTGGTAAGAAAATATAAATGAGTGAGCCCTCCTTTGGCTGAGTATAATATTGGAATGACCTGTCATCTAATCTTTCCACATAAAGTCACAAAAGATGCCTTTGAGCTTCTGAACCTTTGCTACTTGTGTTGGGAGTGGATAACAGTTAATGTGAAATTTATGCATGCTTTTCAGTCCTTATCAAAAGTTCAGATAGTGCTGCCACCTTGTAACAACTAGGACTCTGGGATTTCAGTTTGGTCAAGGTGGGACTAACTGGCTCCCCACCTGGGCCCCTGGTTCAGTCTGTGCTGTGTTCGACCCAGTCACAGCTGACTGCTGATATCCAACTAATAGGCTGTCATAAGAATTTTTAAAAGGCAAAAATATAACCAGGAACTAGTATGACAAGCCAGGACCTATCAGTTCCTATCTTCTGCCCCGGGGAAAGTTATTCAGCCGCTCTCAGCCTCAATTTCTTCATCTATAAAATGAAAATGCAGAATGGTTATAAAGCTTATATAAAATAGATAACAAGTGTCCACACAGAGATGCCTCCAATAAATAGCTTAACTATCTTAGAAAATCTATTTCCCTGCCTGAATTGTCTAGAAAGTAGAACTGATTTTCTACCAAGTTTTATACTACCTTTTTTGGAAAAAGTTGTACTACATTTTAATATCATATACTTTTACTGCAGTTGCAAAGACATCCCTTTTCCTAGGCAGTTTGTGTTTTTATTTTAGTTCTCTCTGATGAAATGTATATCAGAGAACTGCAAAGTGGCTTATTAAACTTTAATAATCATTGATGACTGCCTCTCTTGGTCCCAGCACCCCAAGGTGAAGGAGCATGACTCTTTTTCCCAGCTGAATCCCCAACCTGGAACAGGGTCACCCCATAGTATGTCCTTGATCCAGATTTGTGATTGGTGACTATAATTCTTAGGGCTGCCATGACTGATGATCACAAACCTGGTGACTTAAAAACAACAGAAATTTATTCTAGTTTCACTGGCCAGAATCTAGGTACCTGTGGATCCATGCTCTCTCCAAGGCTCCAGGGAGTAATTTGGTCCTTGTCTCTTTCAGTGTCTGGAGGCTGCTGGCATGCCTTGGTTTATGGCCACACTATCTCAATCTCTGCCTCTGTCTTTAAAAAACCTCTTCTTTTGTGTCTATCAAATCTGCCTTTCTAAGGACATTCACAATTGGATTTAGGACACACATAAGTAATCCAAGTAATCTCCCCATGTGTACATCTATAACTTATTTTCATCTACAAAGGCCCTGCCTTATAAACAGTTACAGTGTCCAGCAACTCGAACTTGGATATTTTGTGTGGTCATTATTCAGTCTACTACTACAGTGGTATTTGGTGAAACACTATCTCAGGGGCATGAACATGTGGTGGTTTGGGAGCTGTGGATGATACGGGCCACTCACAAACCAGGAGTCTGGACACCAGAGCTCCTGGCCTAGTGACTCCAAGCCCCTGCTCTTCCTCCCCACACTGTGTTCAGTGATGGACCTGGAAGAAACAAAACTGGGTCGTCAGCCTTCTAAGTCCCTCCTTCACCCTCCCACCCTCTCCGACTTTGTTTTTAAAAAGTTATTTTTTCAATAGAAGCAACCTTCAGACTCCTAAGAAACCAAAACCTAGCAATCTTTGATAGTAAAGCATTTGCTTTTCTTTACCATCAATTTTGTAATTGGAACCCAAAATAAGAAATAAGCACAACCATGGTGATGGCCAGCAATATTAGTGATCATACTCTCCTTAATGCTTCCATTAATGCTTCCAAAGGCCTTATAGCAAAATTTAACCTCATAAATCAAAACTCTAATAATGGCAGCCAGAATGAGTGGCAACAGAGAGGAAATAAGAACAGAAAAAAATTCCTTCAATTTCACAAAAAACTGTTAACCCAATTTCCCAATAAAAGGAGGTCCTCTTTACCTAGCTATAACCAAAAAATCAGTTTTACTTGTTTGCTGCTTTGCAGTTTAACCCCCAAAATTAACATTAGATCCATTTAGTCACTTCCTTCCAAATGTGACCTTTTATTTTAAGCAGTAACTGTCAACAGAACAGCAAAGGCCTCTGAAAGGGCATCATAGTATTTGTTCACTAAACAGTGCAACAAAAATACATCTTGCTTTTGTTTGCACATCACAATCCCAAGTGATACAGATATTCCATGTCTGCATTCAGCACCAGTGCAACAGGCAAATGTTCTCCCAAACCACTAAACCACATGCAGAACATTACAGTTATTTAGAACCAGAAGGAAATGAACATTAAAACCCTATGTATCCTTTGCAATAAAGTAACCTGACCCTTCCAGGTGCCAAGCCCTCCATCCCGTGTTATATGACACAAGCCTGCTTGCAAGAGCTCCTGGTCTCTCAGTGAGTGGGGATACAAAAGAGGGGATACTTAGCCACAGAAGCTTATGGGGTAAATGTGTGGCCTGTGGTTCTTCAGACAGCACGATTATAGAGTCTATAAATCAGCCTCACCCAGATTTAGGATTGCAGAGTCACAGAGGTTTTGAAAGTGAAGCAAAGATGGACATAGTAACCCCTCCCCATGAAAAGCAAAGTACCTGCTGCAGTAGTTCCCCTCTCCCTGCTTTCGGAGGCAGAGGATCTTCGTGGGAGCCATGGGAGGTGCTGGGGGCCAGGAGGTGTCTGTGGAGAGCTCGGGCACCACCTCCTCAGAGAGGCTCTGCAGTTGCCCAGAGAGCCTCAGTGCCTGCTCTGGACACTCGTTTCTGGTGGCCTGCCCTTGGCCAAGCACTACGTATGTCATTCTGAGGTTCTCTGTAGACAAAGCTATAAATTTCCATATGGTGACTCAGTAAATTCATTGAAAAAATGAATTTTCACATACGAGGTAAATATGTGAGTTGCAGGATAGTTTTAAAATGCTACTCTGATGCTGCGTCCACATCACCATGGCCAAAGCAAAGCACACAGTAAGGTGGCAGAAGTGACTGCTGACATCCTGCAGAAGGACTTAGGCCTCACAAATCAGGAGCTAAAACAAGCACATTCTTAGTGTCACTCACTCTCTTCACAAACAACAAAACCCAAAGGGCCTGAAGATGGCCTGAGTCCTCGGAGCTTCTGCTGGACCTGAGAAGACTTGCTGATTCGGGAGGAGGTGAGGCCGTGCAGCTGTTTAAGCTCCTGCACTCGGGAGAATAAACATTTCCAGTTACAACATTAAACTCTATTTATTTAGTGTTTGAAACATGGTGTACACTTATGAATTTGTATAAACATTTAGTTCATTTAAAATCCACAACCGGTAAACAACCTGTGCTTGCTTGTGTACAATTTGGAGTTTACACCTCAACACTTTGATGTCAGTGAATCTAATCAAATTGCCTCATGACTGTAGGAACTGACAGAAGTGATTTGTTCTTTCAAAGGACTGTTCCTCGCACAGAAAAGGTGTTACGCCTCGGAACACCTAAACCGGGTGTGAAGGAAACGAGAAGCAAAACTGACACAATGAAGAAAGTGTGTGAGGGGGCCCATGTCAGTGCACAGTGGGCGACACAGCGCATGGGGACACCTAGAGATGGGTGCTCCCTTTCAGAATGTTGCGATGCTCATGGAGAATCCCTCTTGCCTCCCACTGGAGGGGTTCTGTCCTGCAGGAGCTTGTACTCTGCTTGGGCACACTTCTTAGGGCACCCACAGGTGTCACAGCTGCAACTCTGAGGTGCCGACCAGGCCCAGGGCTCTGGCTTCTTCTGGAGTCAGGCCGCTCTTGAGGGTCCTTCGCACTGCAGGTCCATCAAAGGGATGACAAGAGAGGGAAGTTTTTAGCAGCCAGGCAGATACAGTCAGTCCACCAGACCCTCCCCGAGACATCCTGGGTGGTGATGGGGTCACCACGCTCACAGACGCTCTACCCCTCCTGTCCTGAAGTGCCCAGGCCATCATCTGCCAGGGCAGGGCAGGAAAAGTCTTCAGGCTGCAAGAAGCTGCCCTGTAGATGGCTGACACCCCCTGCAACAAGAACACGGGAGTTGCAAAGACAGAAGGGAAGTGAGGCCCATCCTTACAGAGGTTCTGAGAAATGGGTGCAAATTGCAAAAGTATAGATTGAGAGCTCAGCTCTGACCAGAATAAGGAGTGGATCAGAGCTGGAAAAGTAATGACAGAATACCGGACAATGTGAGTTCAGTGGTATCAAATCCGGTAAAGTAACCCCACAAATCTTCAGGGGGAGCAAAAATGCTGGGGGGCACAATGAAGAAACCACTGCCCCACAGAGCCAGGTGTTCATGGAACCCAGGACAAGGGGAGCTGTGGGGATGTTTCCCTTGCAAATGAGGGGGAAGGGGGAAGGTCTTCATCTCAACTCATCAAGGGCTGCTGAAGAGAATGACCAGTGAGTCCCTGAGGACTGGAGGCCAAGGAGCAAACTGTCAAACACTCCTGGGTGCATTTGGTGGCTGTGCTCTGTGAAACACACAAGGCTCCAGAAAGACCATGACCCCAGCCATGGCGGCTTACAACTGGCAGGTGGAGGAACACTCACATTTAACTGCCTTAGAATTGCTTTGTGTTTAGGTTGGCACTAATATGGGTTTATCCCATTGTTTAGTGTTGATCAATTTTAATGTCAAAATAAAGGCTGGATAAGGGTGAAAGAGGAGGCAGCTGCTTTTTCCAAGACAAGTCCTTTCATTTGAAAGGTTGCCTAGCGATATTTTCCCCTAATTTACAAATTATATTTGGCCTACTCTGTATGTAAGGTCGTACAGAGTTTGGGGCATTTGATTTGTTTTCAGAAGAGCTGTTAGCCTAAATCAGAAATCACAGAGTCCCTAAGATGATCAGGGCAGACCCTTGATCAGAATGAGGAGAAAGTAAGACACCCTCAGAGTCTTCACACCCCAAGTCCCCTTACTGCCCTCTCCCTTCTGTGACCTGGGGACCTGTATCCACCGGGGCCTCCAGCAGCCAGGGCCCCCACCTTGAGTGTCAATCTCAGTTTTGTAAGGGCAACACTCTAGTGACCTCATTCCCCTTTCTGCTTTTTTATTCCCTCTCCCATTGGCTACTTCCCTCACTGCCCGATTACTGTCCATGTCCATTCTTCCTGGCCATGTAGTTTCTCTTCCCAGAACCTTCCCAGAACCTCACATATAGCCCACTGAGCCTGCAGGCACAGGATCTGAAAAAGCCATGTCCATGCAGAACATACAAGGGAAAGACCTATAAGTAATGACTTCTGTCCTTGGTATTAACACTTTGAATAGAAGCTAACACCTAATCCTTTAACTAGTCAGTCAACAACACTTTATAGAAAATTATCATGTGCTCAGCACTTAAAGAGTTGAAACGTGTATGGAAAACTGACAGCAAAGAGGATGGATTTTTACAGAGACACAGAGATCTATGGAGAGAGCGACGCTCAGATCTAGCCCCCACACACCACTGTGATCCAAGCCTAGCTCTAGGGCCCAGAGCCATCACGTACAGCTGCTGCTGCACGAGTTCCCCCCCCCCCACCTCCTTGGGCTCCAGACTGAGTGTCTAACTCGTCCAGACAAAACGTTTGGCTCCAGAGCCTTGGCTGGAGGCAGACTTCAGTTAACTGAGTAATGGAACTCATTCTATGGGGCAGCAATAAAAACACTAGTTTGTAATAAACTTTTATGTCCTTTAAACACCCCTTCAAGTGTTTGTTAAAGAAAGATAAGAATTTTAATGGCTGAAACAAAGATAAAATATTTCTCATTCTTGACAAGAACTGCTAAGATCTCTAAGATCCCAAATTCTGCCTGAGCAAGTCCATACTGAACTAGGACTGCAGGGACTACAGACTGCAGGGACTCGCTCATTCAGTTTCATGAACCATAGAGGTAGCATGGACATGTGTCTGTGAACCAGTTTTTGTGTCTTTAGGTACACATGCTTGGCCAAATGACAAGAGAAGACTGTGAACTGGTAGCCATTTTACCCATGAGGGCACTTAAAGATGCACTGTAACACTTTGATCTGCACATTTGCTGAAATCTTTTTTTTTTTTTAAGATTTATTTATTTATTTATACAAGCACTGTGTAGAAACAGAAGCACAGGAAGGTGAGAGAATCCACCAGAGCCAGAGCAGAGAGCAGAACAGGCAGACTGATGAAATACACTGCTGAGGGGAGCAGCGGGCGGCAGGAGAGGTCTGCGCACCATGTGGGACCCTCGCCTGGTAGCCGGGGATCGAACCGGCGCTGCAAAGGCTGCGGGCAGCTTCGCATCCCAGTGCTCAACCGCTATGCCACCGGGGAGGCCCTTGCTGAAATCTTTTAACTGTAGTGTTCAGTTCATGCAAATACTTGAGTCAGGACCCAGATACTTAATAGCAATGTGCAATCATCTCCTAATAGACACAAGCATTGGGTCAGCCTATCTGGGACTGGCTCAGAGATTAGAACAAAAGCTTAATGGCTCTGCACTGGCCTTTCTGCTGGTCTGCAAGGAGGCTGTGCCCTCAACCTCATGGTCTACTAGCAATTGTGATGCACCAGAGCCTTTGGGACTCTCCCTAAGCCCTTCTGTCTGGGCTCATGCATTCTCTGCTGTGGGGAAAAGCCAGAATAGGCTAATGTCTCTTTGCTGGCCAAGATGATTCTCTGAAAAGCATACACAGAAAAATCCAGCCCATTTGTGGTGTCCTACTTCCTGTGGAACTTCATGACAATTCACAAAAATACCCATCTTACCCCCCACCCCAAGACCTTAAGAAGGTAAGTCTTACCTTTGCTAAAGATTCTAAGTTAACCATGTACCCTTTGAAAGAAGGTGTGAATGAAGGAAATCAGCTGAAATCGGCTTTATGCCCCCATTCAAGTCATGCATGGACAGGGCCCTTTGGGTGTCCATTTGTTCATTAGTCTGCCTGTCAGCTCATTCAGCAAATGTTGCCTGATCTTCCATCCTGACCCAGTGCTGCAGTCAGGGAGGCAGAGGCCTATAGGCACACAGCGTGTGAAAAAAAGCTCAGGGCAGCAGACCCTGTCAGAGACAGGGAGTTGGCTCTCACTCAGAAACTTTCCAGAAAATGGAAAAGGGCTGAGCATATAAGAGAATTAGGGGACCAGCAGTGGGCTGGCAGGACATGGCACTTGTACAATAGAAACAAGTCTTCCATCAAATAGGGGTTTCTCAAGTGCTGGGTAAGGGGGGTGGCGATGAGGGGTGGCGGTGGGGGCTGACCCACAGGCTGTAAGACTCGTCTGGGCCCCTCTCCACTCCCCGCTCCTGCTTCCTGCTTGAATGCTCTGGCTACAGCCTCACTGCTCCCCAGCCTGTCCCATGTGACTGCCTCCCCTCCCCAAGGCTGCTTAACAGAGAACAGACCGTGGAAATGTTTATCCCTGTCTGCCTCCCGCTCTTCCATAGACGGTGTGGGTCACTTTGCTGGCACCAGCAGCTACTTGAGGCCCCAGGCACTTGTGACAGCTCTCACGATGCTGCCTGACAGCAGCGGGTTCTGACGCAGGGCGTCCCTGCTATCAACATGCTGCTCAGGGGTGTCTGGGGTCTCTGGATAAAAACATGTGTTCTTTTTCTTATTTTTTATTCTCCCTCTTAAAATTGAACACAATTTTTATGCTACAGAGTACTCTCAGGTGACTCTTGGCTAAGAGGAATTGAATCTGAGCATAGTGGTGATGACATCCTCCATCTATTGAGTGTTTACTTGGATCATTTCATTTAAGCTTTGTGGAAACCCTACGAGATAGGTACTGTTATTATCTCAGAAGTGATCAAGTGGTGCTATCGAGAGATCAAGTTAGGAGCCTAAGAACACACTGTAAGTGTTAGAGAAAGGATCTGAAATAAGGATTTGAATCATAGCCTACCCTGCAAACAGGACTGAAGTTGGCAGAATATGTTCTGACCACCTACCACACTAATGGGTGATCCACCAACTTTACTTCCATGTGGCTGAAGTGCATTTGTGTTCATTCACCTTGAATCACTGACAGATTCCCCCACCTCCTTTTTTTTTTTTTTTTTTTTTGCATATATCATCAAACAATTTGGAAATTGAGTGTTTTTTTTTTTGTTTGTTTGTTTTATCATCCCTGAGACTGTAGAGATTTTCTACCAGGTATACTAAGAGCAGTGTGCCTAGGGCTGCAGGGACACTCAGAATGTCAAGATGTCTTAAATGGTCTGTCTCACGGCTAGGAGGTACTTGGCTGCTCAGCTGTTCTTTTTGTTATTTGGGGGACCTGTTTGCTATGAGGGACCAAAATGGCAGGTCCAGTCATGCGTCTTTGGACTTAAATATAGGGAATTGTTGTTTTAAGGTATATAGTTCTTAGTGCATCAATGTCAGGCTATCTATGGATTGTTCACTTTGGATTGGTTTGGCTCATGTCAATTATCTAGGCATCGGAGTGATGTTTATTGTTTCCATATCTTTTTTTCATGTAAAAGCAAGGATTCCCATATTGACAGGTATTTTACAAATTAACTGATCAGTACTTTTCAAATGTGTCAGGTCATGAAATGTCCTCCACAGATCAAGATGGACTAAGAAGACAGGATGACTCAGGGCAAGGTAGGGTCCAGGGTAGGATGGTGGAGTAGAAAGAGAACATCAGTGGAAGAACTGGTGAAACTGAATCAAGCATATAGTTCAGTTAACAGTATTGTACCAGTGTTAATTTCTAGTTTTGGCAAATTGCCTTATGCCATATGAGGTGTTAAGATTAGGGGAAGTAGGGTAAAGGTATAAGGCAACTCTGTACAATTTTTATGACTTTTCTGGAACTCTAAGCCTAAAATTTATTCAAAATAAATTTTTTTAAAATTTCAGCCTGCAGGGCCTCCCCTGGTGGTGCAGCAGTTGAGCACTGGGCTGCGAAGCTGCCCGTAGCCTCTGCAACGCCGGTTCGATCCCCGGCCGCCGGCGAGGGTCCCACATGGCGCGACAGACCTCTCCTACTGTGCCCACTGCTCCCCTCAGCAGTGTATTTCGTCGTTCTGCCTGTTCTGTTCCCCACTCTGGCTCTGGTGAATTCTCTTACCCTCCCGTGCTTCTGACTGTACCCAATGCTTGTATAAATACATAAATAATTCTTAAAAAAGATTAAAAAATTCAGCCTGCAACAACAAAAAGTTGAGGTGCCCAATCTGGCTGATTTAAATTCAACTTCTTAGACACAGCCCAGACACAGCAACAGAGTCTCAGGGAGGGGCCCACACTTGTACTTGCAAGTTTTGTCACTGTCAGCTTACCCTGTAAAATAACATAAAACTGGTTCAAATAGATAAGGAAGAATGATTTAAATAAAATGCAAAGATATTTTTCTTAATAAAATTAGTGAGAAAATTGCTGGATACTTTCAAATACCACTTTGGAAAAGAAAAGAAACTGAATTAAGTGGTACTGATCAGATCCAGGACTGAAAATCTAATATTTTGTGAGACATGACTGCTGTGTTCCCTAAAAGAGATTCAAGAATTTTTTCAAACTTGATAATTTTCTTTCTCCATGAAATTCTACTTCAAAGACAACATGTATCAGTGTTCTATAAAAGAAACAAAACTTTGCTACATGATATCAGCATGCACAGTGGTCCATGCCCTTGGCACAAATGCTGAAGCTCCATGAAACAGGATGAGGGGGGCGTCACTGTGTGAGGGGCTGACAATCAAGGCATGAAATCAAAGCAGAGCTCTGCAGTCCTTTTCAGCAACCCCTGGAATCAGGCTCCTGGTTCTTCCCACTGAGAAACTGTTCTTGTGTGACCATCCCTAAGTTCTTAACTAGCTAAGTACTTGGTTGCTTATTCCTAAGAATACACTATCAAGCTATCACCACCCACTGTAGCACGAGTTCGATCCCCGGCCAGGGAGCTAACCCACAAGGCGCAGCAGACCTCTCCTTTTTCACCTGCTGTTCCCCTCAGCAGTGTATTTCAGTCAGTCTGCCTGTTCTGTTCCCCACTCTGTCTCTGGTGAATCCTATCACCCCCCACACCTCTGGCCTGTACCCCAGCTCTTGTATGCATAAATAAAATATAAAAATATTTAAAAAAAAGAATACTTCAAATGCTGGTCAGCTTCAGGGTTTTCTAGGAAAGGCCAACACTGAGGAGGCCTAAGAGAACACACAGCCCTGGCACAATACACCTGTCCCAATAGGATGGAAAGAGAAACAAACAAACAAAAAAATTAAAAAAAAAAACCAAAAACCCAAGATCTTGGTGAATGGTCCATTATGGTCACATCCACTAATCAATTGGAGAGCTTTGGCTAGAATCTGGGGTGCAATGAGATGAACTGGTGCAGCCATTTCACAGGCTATAAATCAACTGGATAATTTGGAGCATTTAATTAATGAGACCCAGCATATTGGAGGCCTAGGAACATGTGAACTGAGTAAGATGCCCTCAGAGTGTCCCTATGGGCCATAGATTTCAGGCTTTGGCAGGGCAATGGATCTGAGAGGCCTAATCACCAGCATCAAACATGACAGCAGACATTTCATTATCTCTGAGGATTCTCAAGGGACTTGCAGGTCATTAATAAATAAGTTATGGGATGGATTTTGTTTGGGTTTCTGCAATAGCTGGATTGTCATTGTCTGTAGTCAGTTACTACCCAAATATGTTGATTATTCATTATCTACTTGCCTCATTGCCACCATTAAACAATCAAATCAAATACAGCATTGTTTCAGGGGGATTTTGCCAACTCGCTTGTTCTTATTCCTTTAATTTCTTGTGAAAAGCTAGAGTTTATCATCCCTTTATAACTGAAATCAAAGTTAACTTCCCCTAGCTTAAATTTCTGGTGTTGGTACCATTACTAATAAATTAAACTTGTTACAGATAAACACTCATATTCATGCAGTGTTGTATTTGTTGTAGTAACTGCATCACAAGAGAAAATGTGTTTGGCTAAATAAAAAGTATATATGGCTGTTTTGCATAAGATTGGAATGGAAATGATACCACAGGAAATTATTTTACGTCAACCACAAAAACATACAAAGTCTTTCTCTGGCCAGATTGAAGAGGAAAATTAATTATGTCTGTGTTATTGTTCCAGTGACATTATGTCTCTAAGAATCTGGTTCTTTCCAGACCAGAGGGCAGGACCCCATATGCTTTGCCAACACAGATAAGTTACCTGTAGGAGAAGCCCATACCCTGCGCCTCCCAGAATAAAGAAGATACTACATATAACACTATGAAATAATACTCAGGCTAGACTGAAAGATGAAATCTTGCCACCTGCGACAATATAGATGGAACTAAGCTAAGCAAAGTATGCTAAACAAATCAGAAGGAAGAAGACAAATACCAGATTATTTCACTCATATGTGGAATATAAAGAAAGCAAAGGAACAGACAAAACTAAATAAAAATAAACCCTAGCAATATGACTGCAGAATTAGGACTACTAGAGGGGAAGAATGTTGGGTGGGAGAAAAGGGGAAGGGGACCAATGGCCTACAGTAGAGGATTATGGGTGCATTGGTGTGATAACATTCATCTAGGAGGTATGAACCGCAACCCCTAAAATCATGTACAGTGCTGTAACCCAATGCTTCCTCAAAAACAACAACAAATCCTTTTCTCTTTGTGAGGCAACTAATCATTACCAGATGTTCAACAGGAATGGCCATCCTATTAGCCAATTAAATAATCATTATTCCACCAAAAAAAAATTAAAATAAGCATCTTTCAGACCTTTCTGGGGACAAAGTTTGTAATAGGAAATGGCGGGTACACTGGACAGATGTGGCTGCCACTGCCCTATTCCACAATGGCCAACTTGATTGTCAAGCATGAAACCTTTGGTTGATAAGCACAGATGGGCCCTCCAGGCATCACTAACAATTCACTGGAGATGGCCTCTGAGTCTCTACCTTTCATGGATCATGTAGAATGGGGAGGCAGATCCTGTGTGGTGACCCCCACCACCCTACCCAACTCCAAGGCACTTACAAGATTTCCGGTTGGCCCGTGAGCGCTTCCTCTCCCGAGGCACCACTCGCTGGCTGGGCACTTGGGTGGCTGATTTGACGATGCGGTCCATGATCTCATCAGCTGCATCATCTGTGATGTTAGGTGAGTCATCAGTTCCCATTGTCCATGAACTAGAGGATCCTGAAGAATTAACCAGAGAGCACAGTGTACTCAGAAAGAAGGAAAATTCCACTGCTCCTCCAGTAGCTAAACTTGGTCAGCAATGGATCACAGCAGGGCCCAGTTAGAACCTGGGCCAGACAGAGGCAGCTCACTGTCCCCCTCACCCCTCAGAGGTACCAGTATGACCTGTGACTCCAGGCTTTGACCACTAACCTCGAACTCAGAATTCCCACAAACTTGAGTTTGAGGCACTTGGGCCACACAACCCTATAATATAGCAGTGTTCTTGTCTCTCACTGTGTCTTAATTTTTGACCCCTAGTTGTGTTGTCTCTCTGTGTCAGATCCCGTGATCACGAGAGGCAGACTCCCACATTGCCTGCTGCCCTGCACCTCACAGATACGCAGTGGTGTTCATCCAGTAATAGCCAGAGACAGCTGTCCACGCCACTCTGTAAAAGGTGCACTACTAACTTTTTCTTTCTAACTCCAACTAACTTCTCCTTCAGTTAAATAGAACCAACGAATTTTGAAAAATGTAGTTTATCTTTGCATTACTTAACCTTTAAAATCATAATAAGATTGCCCTCTTCAACTACCAAAGGGAGAAGTGACATAATTTTTTCTTTGCTACATTTATCTGCTCTCTGACCAGAAAAATGCATTCACAAGTAACTCCCTGTAAAGAGAGAGAGTACAATTTCAAGTCTGGCATAAAAACTTCTGCCTTTAGATAGGTAAGTTGAAAGCACCATGAAAACAATCCCCAAATCATGATCAGTAGCTAGAAATGAATACTATTTTAATATATCAAGAACTGTGCCTTTATGGTCAATTTCCTTATTAAAATCTATAAAATGAGGAATATGCTCTTGCAAGAAGAAAAATGTACAGTGTGCTCACAATTATGAATTTCCTCTACCTATACTTCCTGTTGTAATAAACATGCAATTTACAAAGCCCATAGGTGAATTTTCTCAAACTCTAAGTAACCCAGGTGCCCTGAGTTCGATTACGGTCCAGTTGAAGAATAGCCAGCTTTTCCAAGATCACAGGGGAAAAAATTGTTAATGTATATCTTAAAATTTTTAGTTCTCTTCTCATACTCTTTATTTAAACTTTTGGTGTTTGGCTTAATGATGAAATAGTCGGGAATAGCTAGCTAGACACAGTCCAGTTCATGGACACCTGCTTGTATTTGAAATTTTACTGGAAGTATGTGATGTGCTATAATTTAGTCATAATTTCTGCTATAAAATTCGTACAACTAAGTTAAATACACAAATAACTCACACTTCTCAAAAGGAGTACCAAAATTCTAGATGCTCCATCACCTGCATATGTTTGAGCCAGTGGTCAGAAGACAAGGTTTTCCAATGACAAAATCTTTTATTGTTATCTTGACAATTTTTTTTTGTTTTATTAATGTGAGTGTACCAACAACACTGGCATGTACTGGAAGAGCACATTGTACTTTTTCTGCTTTTACCCAAGGGAAATTGATCTACTTGTTTCTACGAGAAGACTAGTTTTTCCAGCATCATAAAATCCTTTAAAAATTGATTTTCCCAGAAATGAATATTTGAAATTGCTACCGAATTTTTCTGCATTCTCAGGAAGACCCAGGTATTCTCATTAGAGGCAAGTGGCTGCAGGGCATACAGCTTCCAGGAGGGACTGCAGTCTCGGAACAATGGCCCTCCTGAGAGGAGAGCAATCAATACTGCAATTGTGTTTTGCCCAGCAATTTCTTGTTTTCCCCTTTTCCTATTGATTTGTCATTCTGTGTCTCACTTTGTATCACCAAACAACCCTTCTCAAAACAGACAAACCTAAATAAATTGCATTTGCTCATAATATGCTTTCAGAACACTGGGTCAGAAATGAGGGCATCATCTGATCTTCCCACTGAGCCTGACTGATATTTTACTTCCCTGGGAATCTGCTTGCACTGTGCGGTATCAGGGAACACTTAAAAGGACCAGCTTGTCACAAGTCCAGGATTGTCGATCTCAGCTTTGTGAGGGTGACACTCCCACACGACCTCATTCTTAATTCTGTGCTTTTTTTTTCTTAATCACCCCTTCTCCTGTGGGTTACTGAACTTGCTGCCTGATTACCATTTATGCCCATTCTTCCTGGTCATGTACATTTCTCTTCCCAGAATCACTGGGTCACATATCAAGAAAATTATACCCATGTCTTTTACATACCTCAAGGGGCCATTTGGCTCACAGTCTTCAAAGCGTTGACAAGATATTTATATATAATGCAATGAGGTTAGGAGACAAAGCCTTAAAGACCGGGGCAGCAACCTATCATCCAGAAGCCACCAGCAAAGATGGGCCCCACCCCATTTACCTCTGCTGGCTCGGCTGCGCATGCGCACACCCAGCACTGGGGTGGTGTCCTCCACGGCAGGGGAAGAGGTTTTCAGCACAGCCTTCATGTTCTCATGCTCTGCGGCGTCCTCAGCATAGCTCAGGCCCTGCGGCTGGCTGGGGGGCGCTGGAGAACTGCCAGAGAACTTACCGGACTGCAAGACAAAACAGAGTTAGGATGTGAGGTGACTCCCCAAAAAGCCAACTCAAGCTTACAGGATGTTCAATTAGGGAAAACCTCCTTAACTTATGTCTTCCTTGTGTGCATTCGTTAAGGCAGGAACTGAGATTGTCAATGAACTAATGACAGAACATCCCTGTGGTCAGGAAGTTCTCTTGTCAGAAAGAAAAGCCTAGGTCCCAGAAGGTCCACACCCATCCCCAGGAGTGTTCACTGCTGATGCCTTTGTCAGGGGTGGGGTGGGGCTAGGGGCTGCTGATGGTGACTGTCCTTGAGCTTGGGAAGAACTCAGGAACCAAATCTGTTTCTAACACCAAAACTCCCTATATGAGATTTGAAATATGCCCCATCTAACAAATGTTTCATTTTTTTTTCAATGTCAAAAAGCAGTTACATTTTTCTTATAGATCACATATAGCAGAGTTTTAAGAAAATTTTAAAAAGTGGAATTGGTCACAGATTCACTCAACATTAAGAAACTGGAGATGAATTTTCCAAATCTAGTGCTATGCTGACAGAGAAGGAAACGGAACCCTCCGAGATGAAATAACTTGGTGAAGATCCCAAGGCGGATAGCTTCAGGGTGCAGATCAGAGAATGACACAGAAATTCCCACTGAAACTGAGTTTGGCAATGCTTACTACTTCTGGTTGTGTCAAAAGTTTAGTTGTTTTAATAAGCATTACATGCACATGAGGGTATTCTCTAATGCTAGCTGTACAGAGTCAGGGCAGAGATGTTTTACAAGAGCTATGCTATAACATCAGACCATATGAACAGAACACCAGACATCTGGGTGAAAAATAAAAAGCCCATCAGATTAACATTTGCAAAGAGCAATCATAGGGTCCTGGCTTCCTGTTTTCATGCAGTGTCCCAGTGGGTGACAGAGGCCAAGACACCATCTGCATTAGTCTCTGCTTATCCAAGGCCATTTAGCCTTGACTTGGTCTCTGGTCTGGCATCTGCACAGGGTCAGAAGGAAAAGTCCTGCCATTCCATCCCATCAACACACACTGATGCCAATGGATCCAACAGATGCCAGTCAAAAAAATGAGCTCAAATCAGAGGCTACCAATATCGGGTGACCGTCGCTCTTAGTCACTGCCCACATCCTCTTTGGCTTTAGGGTTCTTTATGTGGTTATTCTAAAATCCAGTTCTCATGCTTGAGTTGCCAGAAGGTTCATGTGGAGGCTAGAAGGAAAATCCTCTGTCTTTTTTTCCATTTGATCCTGCCACTGTTGACAGGGCTGGGAATCAGGGACAACTTGGGAAACGCAGTCAGCCCTTTGGTCCCTGGCACACCCAGATAATGAGAACTTGGGTAAGGAGGTTAGTGATCACACACAGAAACCAACCAGAAAATATCCATGCATGGTTTAAAGCACTGAATGGTGCTGACACTTCATGCTGCTTGTTAGTTAGACTGTATAGCACGCCTGGGAGGATCAAATGTGACTTTTTTTTTATGTTTATAAATAGTCATACCTCAACTTCATCCTCTTCATCAGTCTACCAGAGGACAGGACAGGATAGAAAAGACAGAAGGGATTCTTAGAAGGCACAAAGTCAGCACAGATGAGATCATCTCAATGCCACATCAAATTCCAAATATAGAATTTGGTGGCCGCAACTGGAACATACCCTCTCAGGCCCTGCCTGTATACACTCATTACCCTCATCTGGGTATTTCCTCTGGGAGACTCAAGACCAGTCCTGACCAGTCAGGAGGGACTGATGGGAGCTCTAGGTCCATCTCCTGAGGTTGCTCAGAATGCGGTTAACCAGGTGGTTCCATGACCACGACAGCCCCACTCGCAGTTCTGTGCCCCACCCCTCATGTGTCTTGCAGAATCCGCCACCAGCTGCCCATCCCCTGAGCCTCAGGAAGCAGATCGGTCTCTATCTGCCTACTTCTGCCTGTCATCCCCACTCTCATCCCAAGTGCTGGCCCTCCCCTGCCCAGGCTGCCAGGTCTGGGCCTCATGAATCCCTCCACACAGACCAAACAGGACAAGTGTAACCACTGACCCAGCAAAATGTGCCTATTACTGCCTCCTCAAAAACATGAAAGTAGGTTCCCTTTAAAATCTTACCTCATGGCAGCTGTCTGAGCTGATATGCATACTTTAAATTATTGCCAGATAAAGTTCTTGAAGTAACTTTGAATAAAATATCCCTTTTCTAAAAATAAATGGAGGGTGACAGTCAAGTCAACCTCTTGATTATAAATTAAACACACCCTCCATTTACGTGCTTCCACTGAGGTTACCGGGCAGGCCAGCAAATCAGACACAGGTTTTTGAGAGCTGACTAAACTTTTGGGAGCTGAAATGACCAAATGCTTCTAGTTCATCATGTTCCTGTCAAAAAGTAACAAGACATGAGATGACAGTTCTGCTCTACTATATATTTTCAAATCCTTGAGCTTATTTCTTTAACCAGGATAGTTGGCATTTTTTCAGCAATTAGCACCTGTGCAAGGTGCTACATATAGAATCTCTAGTCCTCTCAACTCCCCCCCAGAGTAACCATTATTTCCTTTTTCTAGCAGAGGAAGTGAGGAGCTCAGAGAGATAAAGGGTCTCACCAGTGATTACCACAGCCTTGTAGGTGGGGCCTAGGGATTGATTGACAGCCTGAGTCCTCACAGGATTCCCAGTCTGATCAGCAAGAAGGGCCACTACTGCCTGTGGTCTATGTTGTAAGTCTAGAACTAGTTTATTTCTTTCTTTCTTCCTTTTGTGTTTTTTGTTTTGCTCTGTATTTTTTTATTTTAATTTTACATTGAAAATTATTTTTTGAAAAATTAATCTTTCCCTGATGAGTAGATATGAGCAAAGTTAGAGTAAAAAATGCAAAATATTGACTGTTATAGCAATCTTAGATGTGCATGTAACTAAAAACAAAACTTTAAAATACATAAAATAGGGCCTCCCTGGTGGCACAAGGGATTAGGCAACGCACTATGAGGCAATCCATAGCCTCTGCAGCATGAGTTCTATCCCCGGTCAGCCAGGGAGCAACCCACATGGCGTGGTAGACCTCTCCTGTCTGCTCCCCTCAGCAGTGTGTTTCAGTCAGTCTGCTTGTTCTGTTCCCCACTCTGTCTCTGGTGAATCCTCTCACACCCCGCATCTCTGGCCTGTACCCCAGCTCTTGTGTGCCTAAGTAAATAAATCTTTAAAAAATAAAATACATAAAAACTGACATAACTGACAAATCCAAAATTACAGATACTTATTATAACAATCTTAATAGCATAAGTAGACAAAAATCAGAAGGCTATAGAAGATCTGAGCAACACTACCAAGCAACTTAATCTAACATTAAGTTGTCATATTAAAAACACTGCACTCAACAATTGCAAAATACCTGTTACTTAGAACCAGTTTCTGATATAAAGATCAGAAATTACTTGGCTTCTCACTGACTTTTTCCTGGAGGGGTCTCCTGGTACAAGAAAGGAGACCTTTTGCATATTCAGCAGCAAAGAAAGAGGGGGAGGGAGAAGCACAACCAGCAGATAGGAGACTGCCCCTAAATATGGAGTCTTCAGATTTACTCAGATTTCTCTCTTAGAAAATAAGTTTTCTTCCTAAAATCATCTCTGTTTTAATTGCTACCATGTCCATCTTAATTTTTCCCCACATGTAAATTAAAAAATACACATTTTTTTCTCTAACAGCTGCTTTCAGAGCTAATGTAATCTACCGCCAGTTTTTGTGCCCAATGGTTTAAGTTGTGTATATGTTGTTTTTCTAAGTAGATCGTGATATCCTGGGGCTATAAGTGCTCAGTGCAGTGCTGGGCATACAATGGGAGTTGAGGTTTGGGGAAACTTGAAGTTGTGCTGACTTAAGTGACCATAGTCTGGCTGTCCAGCAGATGGCGATCTTTCCACATGAATTATGCCACTTGACTCACTAAAAACAGGGACTCATGTTAGAGGATGAACCCAAAAGCCTGTACTGTCCAGAATTTAATGGGAATTTAAATACTTTTGAATCAAACTCTAGACACATTTATCCATGTTTATAAATAGGAAAGCTGAATGCTTTCAGAGGACAGAATTTTAAAATTAGTGGGATCTGAAAAAATCTCAGGAATTTGGCAAGAAATTTTGATGTGTTTTCATAATTATAAGCATATTGGGCTTGTATTCTTCACTCTCCAATGTGTCTCATTTCCATGAAAATAAGCAATTCCCTTTTAAAACTTTTAAAAATAACATTTTGGTATAAAATGTGGGCCATAGTCGTGCAAGTGGATTCAGTTAGCTTCCTGAGCTGCCTCCTGGAGGCTCACAGGCTTCAGGAAAGGTAATGGCAAGACCCAGCAGATGTCACTGGCACTTAGAACTGCCAGGAGGCTGTAGAAAAGGCCCTTGCTACAGAAGGGTGAGCTGATCCCCCCTTAAGGGTCCTGGAAATTCCAAAGAAACAAGGGGTCTGAGTGGAGTGAGTGGTGAGGGGCTCAAGTCCCTGATTCCCATAATTGCCTTTAATTACAATAAAATTTATAAGATAATGCATCTAGTCTCCATGAAGGTCAACCCCTAGGAAATACAGAAGCAGTTGGGACTCTGTTTCTCCTACAATATGGATACCCATCTGGGTACAGAAGCAGCCCGACTGAGGTCTTCTTAATGGACTTTATTCTCCCCCAGTGAAATCCTCCTGACTTGAATCCAGTCAAGGCTTGTGACCCTCAGAGGAAGACAGCATTCCCTGTGTCTTAATCCTTTACTTAGTACATTACCTGTGTCACTGAGAGCCAATACACTTCTCAAATATCTATATACAGAAGGGATAAGTTTCATGAAGGCACATCAGAAAAAGGCACCTTTGTGGTGTGTCCATGTCTCCGCATTTTCCACACATTCCTTCCCCATCCACTTAAGCACCTCCCATCTGAATGCCCACTGCACCTGAGGCCCAGGTGGGCTCAGAGCTGATGAAGGAGAGATGGGGGAAGCGCTCAGGAGAAGCAGAGGCATGCAAGTTGAGCATGGTCCCACAGGGACTGTAGGGAACTGCTGCTAACTCACTGTCCTCTGGGATCCCTTTCCATCTTGATATTGTGTGACTCAAGGGATTGCCAGAGCCCATCTGTTATGTCTTTGAGCAATCACATCCATTATTTCTCTATCCAAATGCCTAGAAGGATGGTCTATGTGTCAACAGACAGGTCACACAGCATTGTTATGATGATTCAAATCCTAAGCCAATTCCTAAATTAATAATTTTTCTTCTATGCTAAGTGGCATTGTTTTAACATTTTTTCCTTCTCTTCCAATTTTCCCCACATCACAGAGGCTGAAAATGGAATCAAGCATTCACTATCTTCAGCATCATATAATACAGCAACATAGATTACAAGTTCTTCCATCAGCCACATGTCCTTAATTTTACATGCCCTGCTTCCTAGTTCATTATGCAGCAGATTTTCACAGAAATGTAGGCACTTTTTGAAAAAGGAAACTTTTTTTCAGTTAAAAAAAGAAGCACAACCCCCAAACTGTGGGGAGGGTTTATGGCTGCCCATATTTTCAAAATAAAAGACAAAAGAGATTGATCTTATGACACTTACATCGGTGATCATCTTCCCTCTGGTCTTATTTCTCTCTCTGTGGTTGGCCCGTTTCTGCTTCTGCTGCAAAACCCTTTCCCTGGTGGTGCGATACTCCAGTGCAAACTCACTAATGATCCTGCAGAACTTGTTTATGTTCACTTCCCGAATTGCATATGGTGGATGGCCCATAAAGAGCAAAAACGAATGGAACCTGCAATGGAAAACAACAGTTTTTAAGGAAAAACAACAATTTTAAGGAACAAAAATCAACTATCAAGAAAAATAGTCTGGAAATACATAAAACTGAGACTAAGAACTTGCAGATTATATGAAAAAAATAGGGAAATATTTTTATAATTTGGACTCTGAACTCTGAAGGACTATATTTAGGTGCCTTGGTGATATGGTAATATATACCTGAAGAGATAGGAGAGCTTTTATTTCTGAACCTGTAACATTATAAAACAATGTTATCTTAATAAAAATAATAATTAAAAAAAAAAAACAGTAAAAAACCAATCAGTCAACAATATTGTTCTTCATTCTGGGCTTTGAGGTTGAAGAGTTTTCTCAAGTGAATATGCAAGCAGGAGTCAAATTCAAGTCACTTTCTCATTGATGGAAGTTATATCCGTGTGGTAGAATTTCAAATTAATTAGTGATTCCTTTTTGTCTATCTGTCTTTTAATGTTTTTCTAAAATGGACATATAAAAGTTTTGTAAGAAAAATGAGAAATTGTTATTGTCAGGAAAATATCGCACACTTTCTAGGTTATATAAGAACTAAATAAGGAATAAAGAAATGTTGCCTAGCAATTCCACAGGAACCTGCTTTAGTGAATATTTAGAATAGACATAAATGTGTTGCATCATGTTAAAGGATGGTCCATAAAAATAATTATAAGGTTACTTACAGAGCCTTCACAGAAAACTTTTTCACTAAGAAAAAATATTTTCTTGAATATCATAATTAAATTAGTACACACCAAACTACACAAGTAGATTTCTTTCTCAATCTTTCCTAGCTATTTAATTTATATATTAAACTTTATTGGGCTCCACTTATTTTTTTTTAAATAAACGAAATAAGTAAACAAGTCTCCAATTTTAAGTTGCCAGATAATGAAAAAATGTTACAAGGAGACAGAGGGAAATTTTACAAAGAATTAACAATATTATATAAATGATACCACTATTTGTAGGTAAAAACTTTTGGTTCTGGTCACTCTAATTTGTATGGTTTGAATAGGGGTCAGATTGTTTCCCAAATGAGGAACTTATTCTTTCTGTGAAGAGTAATAAAGTGAAGCATAAAACATGTCTTTAAGGGGTCTGAAAAATGCTGTTTATTTATTAATTTTTAAAGATTTATTTATTTATTTATACAAGCACTAGGTACAGTCAGAAGCGCGGGAGGGTGAGAGAATTCACCAGAGCCAGAGCGGGGAACAGAATAGACAGACTGATGAAGCACAATGCTGAGGGGAGCAGCGGGCGCGGCAGGAGGGGTCTGTGCGCCATGTGGGATCCTTGCCAGTGGCCAGGGATCGAACTGGCGTTGCAGAGGCTGCGGGCAATTTCGCAACCCAGTGCTCAACTGCTGCGCCACCGGGGAGGCCCTGAAAAATGCTGTTTAAAGCCAAACATGCTAGCTGAAACTGCCAAGAGAACACATAATGCATAAATGTTCATGACTTTGAATTAGGCAATGATTTCTTAGATATATATCAAAAGAAGCATAAGAAACAAAGAAAACAGATAAATTGAAATTTCATCAAAATGAAAATCTTTTGTGCATCAAAGGACATCAAGAGAAAAATATAACCTGCAGAATGGGAGAATATATTTGTAAGTTATATGTTTGATAAGGGATTTGTACCCAGAACATATAGAGAAATCTTGCATCCCCCCTACACTTAAAGAGATGAAAAATGGACAATGGATTTAATGAGCTACTTCTCAAAAAAAAATGCAGATAAGCAATAAGCACATGAAAAGATGCTTAACATCTTAAGCCATTAGAGGACCACAAGTCAATGCCCATTTCACACTCACAAGGATAGCTAAAATACAGACAGACAATGACAGGTGCTGGTAAGGTAGTAGAAAATAGTGGGAACATGAAACAGTTCAGCTGCTGTGGAGGTCTAGGTGTTCTGAGAATCCATATGCCACTTTGTCACCTGTGGAGGTTTGAGACCTTACACCTCGAGTGTCATGGAGCAACATCTGTGTAACCACTGCTGCTTTTAAAAAAGTGCCCTGTTAAGTGGATCCCTGATTACACAGTTGCATGGGGTGAAAAAAAAAAGATAAAAGTTTACCTATTTGCGACTTTCTGATGTGAAGTCCTATATTTAGGTTTATCTGCTAGGCATCGCCTGTCATCCAGTGAATGATTACAAACTAAGGTTTTTCTCCTTTCTGGGTCTCAGTCTCTCACTGTGAAATGGGAACAAGTTAGATCTCAGCAGTCCTAGGCTCCTGGGAATCTTGGTAGCAAAGGAGGGAAAGACAAACCACTGAGGCTCTGAGTCTCTCATGTCCCTTTCATGGTTAATCCTGCTTTAATCAGTTCTAGGTATGGGGCGAGATGGGGCTCCTGCTCATGACTTCATTTGAACCCAGGGTTGTGTGGTTTAAATACTTCGGCTGGGCCACTACCTGGAGCTTCCCTGCCTCTGCACCATGACCCTTTCACTACCCACCATGATGTCAATGAATTCTTGGCTCACTGTGGTCATCCCCACTGGGTGGCCAATAGGGAGTGTAGGCTGGGATTCGGGTCACCTAAGAGCAATCGTCATTTGACCAGCTTACCAAGGAGAATGCACATATGCATATATATATATATATATATATATACACACACACACACATGTACACATACACACACACATACACACACACACACACACACACACGCATTATACCCTAAGGAACAGAGGTATCCACAGAATGAATTTTTATCTGTCTGGGATTAAGTGGTTACTGTGACCAGGCATAATAGCTTTACAAGACTTTTGTAAAACTGCTCAAGTTTCAAGACATTTCAAATGGAAACTATTTGTTTATTTGAGTAGTTTTTTAAGTTGGAAATCGCTTGTATCATACAAAGCATGGAGGGCCAAAGCAGCTCACATTCCCTGCCGTCCCTCTTTAACCATGTTAAAAGCACAGTGTACTTTAGTTCAGTAAGAAATTTGACAAAAATCTCTGAGATCTTCTTACCCAGAGGGCAGATGTGAGGTCTAGATGAAGCACAGGGAGGCAGGTTTAAGGTTTAGGTCAAGCAACCAAATTCCAAAAGTGCTAATGAATGGATAGTTGTCAACCTAGAGGCAAGATTCTGTTCTTTATTCCTCTAAAGACCACCCCCCCCCTTCTCAGTCTGCATCAAGACCCAGGAGGTATATTTACCAAAAGCAGGAAATGACATAGGGGAGAGAGGGTACATACGTGTACACACATACACACACAAACACACACACACATCAGGTTCCTAAAAGGTCTGAGTTCAGGGAAGGCAAAGGAAGGAAAGAAGATGAAAGGAGCGAGGGGAAAGGAAGGCAAGAGAGATGAAAAGAATAAAAAATAAATGTACAGGGATAAATGAAAATACCACCCCTTTGTTAAAAATTAATGATAAAGGTTCCAAGCGCAGGAATGGGAATTGCTGGAGGAGCAGATCTCTGGAACAGCCTGTGGCTGAGATGGCCCCAGCTCAGTCTGAGATTGCTGGGAAGACTACCTGAACAGAACTGCAGGGAGGCCTGTTTCCGAAGGGCTGGCATCAGCCACCTGCTCCAAGTAGACCACAGCCTATAGACCTGCACATGTGCTCACCAAGCTAATAGCCCAGGATTGAGCACACAGACCCTAGAGGCCAGAATGAGGGACCTAAAACCATACTCTGTGACAAGCAAAGGAAAAGAAAGCGTTGGTGGATGGGAGGAAATATCTTTGCTTAGGAAGCTGGAAGAGCCAAGGTTCTAGTCCCAGTATTGCCGCCACTTACAGATGAAAGAAGCCCAGATATTCCTGCTTTCATCAGGTTTACATAGAGGGCTCACAGGTGTAGGCAAGTAGGTCTGACATATCTGTCCTGTGTTTCCCACATTCTGTGACTCTGTGGATGGTCCAATGGACAGCACCTGGGGTGGGACCTCAGCCTCTTCCAGGCAGGGTGCTGCACAGAGCCACCATCAGAGAAACAATGAATGAGAGGCCTCAGAGGCAGACTACAGATGATATAGAGGAGAAACATTTCTAATAAGTTGAGCTGTATGCAGGGAAGAGCACTCTTGTAGCTCCCTGTAGAAGCAGGCTCAAGAGATTCAGGGCTCCATTTGTCTGATGCAATTTCCGACTAAGTAGGATTTGGGGATGACATTTTCTCTGAGATTCTTTCCAATCTCAAGAGTCAATGGCATTATATTACTGTCATGTGCATAAGAAAAATGAAGCTTGTGCGTCAAAGGTGTACTTACCACGTATCCCGAATTTACAGAACAACTTTTGTCCCTTTAACCTTCAGGTGCAAAGTATTTTCAACATGCCATTTAATGGATATTTCTATAAGTTCCTCCACCCACTGACCTGTTGATTATTCTTCTATGGACAATCTTTAAGATGATAATTCGTTCTGCACAGTCTTTTAGGAACTCGGACATTCGTTGTTTTAAAACTGGTTTCATTTCATGTTTTGCAATTGCCTTAAGGTGATCCCATGAAGCCTTGCATCTTCTCTCCATCTGACATAAATTATCCTGAAGTTGATCAAAGTCAACCTGAAAATCAGAGAGAGAACATTGCAAATGCACTGAAATAACCGGACACCAACCTGAACCAGGAAACCAAACTGCCTCTGGGAAGAAATAAACATCAAAACCAAATTTACATCTTGAAATACAAACATATTTATGGCCCAAAAATTATTCACATGTGTATTTGTCATTATCTTGACATCAAATTATTATTGAAACTGTTCTCCAAATGAACCCAACACAAGTATCACCTCTTTTTTATTATTTGGAAAGAAATCTTAGAAAAGTCTTCGGGAACTGTAAATTAAAACATGATATCAAGGAAGCCTAGTACAAGATGAACTGAGCAGATGTCTCATAAATTTTTTCAGAGTGCTCTCTTTCTCAGAGATGATATTTCATGTAAGGTTGGAGGAACTCACCACAGCCATACATGGATGGCTCCGATATGCCAGGGCCAGCTAAGGGGCAGCCAGTTTCTCTTCCCCATCATCTCTTTTAAACTGTGTGACAAATTATATTATTTATCTACCCACTTACTCATTCAACCAACCCCAATGGAGAAGCTAGTGCTCGCCAGTTTTCAGTCCAGGTTCTAAGGACAAATGTTGAGCAACCTGCGATTCTCAAGGGGGATCATCATATAAACAGGTGAGTACCAAGCACTAAGGACACACAGGACCCACCAGGTGAGTGCAAATGTGGATGTGTGTCTAGGTATATATGTATGTGCTGTGGGGGCATGTGGTCCTGCCAGCAGATGTAAACCATGAGCACAAAGAATCAATGTGACCTTCAGGGAACTGGGAATAGTTTGGGTTGATTTGAAGTAGCCTGAGATGTGACTTTTTAATATAATGCTTTTGTAAAGTTTCTAGACTAAAATTTGTGTGAGCCAGAGGATCAGTGTGGAAAAGATACACTTGAAGGTATTTAATGAAGGGAGATGTAGGATCAGCAGCAGAAGAGGTGGAGGAAGAAACCGAGAAAGCTAGGAGGGAGGGAAGAGACAAATAAACAATGAGCTGAAGGGAGGCAGCAGAGATGGTGGGAGAGAAGAGCCAGTCTGAAGAGGTAAGAGAAAATGTGTGGGAGTGAGTTGCCATTGCTTAGATGCCACTGACTGTGGTTACAAGGTTACAAGTGACCGGATATGAGCCCAAGGAGACTTGCTGAGGTGGCTCAGACTTCCAGTCAGAAAGAGAATGGAATGGTCAAATTAAAAACAGGTCAATTCTGTGAGAGGATCTGTCACCAGACAGGATGAAGATATGCTGAGCCTTAAAGAGAATACCCAGCATTCCAGGCAAGACATCACATGTCCTGAATTTCATGGGTGCTAAAGAGCCAAAAAAGAGAAGACAAGATTACGCAGAATGCTGAGATTCAGGCAAGCAAGGAGTTCATGGGTCTTTGAACAAAATGGTTTGTCTACAACTAAGAGAATCCTCTGTCCAGATTAAAAAAGGCTTCACTTTCCAAAGAGACAATGGAGTTGAGGGGGAAATCTGGCATTCAGCTGAGGGGATAACACATGTAAATTTAGAAAAGGATAAAATAGTTCAAAGAATAAGTTCAGAAAAGGATCCAGATGACTGGGGATTGACAAGTAATGTCTAGGAGGTCCAGGAGATTTAAAGCCAGTTGTAATAGGTCTAACTACAACTCTCTGAATCTGTCCTCACTGGCATCTGGCAGTGACCTTGATCCACAATAATTTTAAACACTTTAATACATCTAATGACTTCAGTTCATCTTAAACACATGTACCCCATAGCTTTGTGTAGTCTAACCAGATGATGCTGGTTCAGCACTGCAGTGAGCATGGCGTGGGTAGGCAGATATGATAGGAGAGATGGTCTTTCAGAGAAGAGAGAAATCTGAGCTTCTAAGGTAGGAGTAGAAGTAACCTCACTGCCAAACAGGTGGGGAACTTTTAATGAAAAGCAGTTGAGCGTTTGACTTAATGCTGCATCATTTGAGAGGGTTGGAAGACTGTCTCAGCTGGTGCACATGAGCGGAGTCTTCACATCCTCAGATTCTGTCACTAGTTCCACTTCAGAGGGGAGAAACTGATGGCCTAGTGAGGTTAAGTAACCTATGAGATGCCCAATGGGAAGTGGTGGAACTGGGACTTGAAACCAAAGCTCTATTTGCTTCAGTTCCTAACCATTACGACTTAAGCCTAGGCTTGGTCCTAACAAATTCCATCTCAGGGAGAGAGCTGGCCTGGTCTGCTCTCACCAGAAAGTTCTCTCCCGAGAACTGCTCCACATGGGCCACCTTCTGTGTGTAGGGAGACATAAAGGCTGTAACGTCTTGCCTTATCAAGGTAGTCTGGGATGCTGTGGGACAACTCAGGCAGGGAGGAGAGGGTTGTGGTGGGGAAACACACAGAATGAGTGTCACAAATTCTTTGACATGTATCCCTTCAAAATGTAAATACTGACTGCACTTTGAATGTGAGACAGCTTAAGTAACGTGGTTCTAATTAATGGAGCATAAATACTAGGTCATAAAAAGGACAGAGCTTCTGCCCTGGTTCTTTCTCTCTCATCAACTAGTAGGGGAGGCCATCTACTATATAATGAGAAACTCAAGGAGCTGTGGAAGTGGCCCAAAGGGGAAGGAACCTCAGTTAACAGCCAGCAGGTGAGTAAAAACACCATGAGAGTAAATTCTTCAGGTCCACTCAAGCCTTCTGGTGACTGCAGCCTTAAAAACATCTTGACTGAAATCTCATGAAAGATGCTGAGGCAGAACCATTCATGAAATAACATTTCTTATTGTCTTTTACGGGTTGAATTTTATCACTCAAAAATTCACATATTGAAGTCAAACTTCCTGCCTCCCAGTATATTATATCAGAATGTGACAATATTTAGAAATTAGGTTGTTGCAGATATAATTAGTTATATTAGAATGATCATACTGGAGGAGGGTGGACTTCTAGTTCAATATAATAGGTGTCATTATAAGAAGGGGAAATTTGGACACAGACACTCAGGAAGAATGCCACATTAAGATGAAGGCAGAATAATTGCCAGCAAACCACCAGGACCTAGGAGAGAACTATGGAACAGACTTCGCCTTCAAAAGGAAGTAACCCAGGGGCTTCCCTGGTGGCCAAGGGGTTAAGCACAGCATTATGAAGCAATCCGCAGCCTCTGCAGCACGAGTTCGATCCCTGGCTGGCTAGGGAGTTACCCACATGGTGCAGCAGACCTCTCCTGTCTCACCTGCTGCTCCCCTCAGCAGTGTATTTCAGTCAATCTGCCTGTTCTGTTCCTCACTTTGTCTCTGGTGAATCCTCTCACCCCCTACCCCTGTACCTCTGTACAGGGCCTGTATCCCAGCTCTTATATGCATAAATAAATAAATCTTAAAAAAAAAAAAAGGAATTAACCCTGCCAATATCTTGATCTCAGACTATTGGCTTCCATAACAGTGAGACAAAAAAAAAATCTCGTTTTTCTAGGCTAATGAGTTTGGGATACTTTGTTACATCAGCCTTAGGAAACTAATACATTGCTAAATGGCTAATTTTTGGGGTGATTTGTTACACAAGCAGGTAATACAAGCAGGTACAATGTGAGGAATGAGCACCTGTGTTACTACCCGCCTGTATTCCCTGGAGCCATGGAGTGAGGCCAGTGATCACTTGTCACTTTGTTCTTCCCCTAGGAGTAGCCAGGCAGTTGGTCCCCACCTCCATCCATTTCCACAAACATCTGGTGGGACAGTTTCCTTCCAATGCCAGAGCAACCTGCTCCTAGGAGGTGACAGGGGTGATGCCCAAAGTGTGACAGCCCAGGGCATGAGTGCAGTTGGACTGTGGGCTCCTGCAGTTTAGTTTGTACTAAACTGCACAGAAGGGCCCCTTAATTAAGCCCCAAAATGGCTTTGGGAGTAAAGGCTGAGAAGAGCTGGTAGATGCCCTCTTGGCCTCTTGCTGCAAGTTTTGGGGTCAATATTCATCATCAGGGCCTCCCCTGGTGGCGCAGGCGGTTGAGCACAGTGCTGTGAAACTGTCTGCAGCCTTTTCAGTGTTGGTTTGATCCCGGCTGGCCAGCGAGGGTCCCACATGGCGTGACAGACCTTTCCTGTTGCTCCCGCTGCTCCCCTCAGTAGTGTATTTCGTCAGTCTGCCTGTTCTGTTCCCCACTCTGTCTCTGGTGAATCCTCTCACCTCCCATGCATCTGGCCTGTACCCCGTTTCTTGTATAAAATAAATAAATCTTTAAAAAATAAATTCATCATTAATAATTGCCAAGGTTAATAGGTAGAAGCTACCTGCAGTTTTGCTTGCGCAGCCAATCTTTAGGACAAGATCAGCCATTTAATGACCAGCTCACTAGTAACCAAACATCTTTTGGGAAAGACCTAGGTCAGACTTTGGGGCCCAGCTGCTGTCAGGACTCCTAAGCCAGGGCAACTTTTGTCACAAGCAGGCTCTCTCTAGGGGAAGGCACTAGGAAAGAACAAAAACCACATGTAAAAAGGGAACCTATTTGTTCTGGATGGTTTTAGAAACAGGACCAAGATGAAGAGGCTCCAGACAGCCAGGCAGACTTTGTCTCCTATAGAGTTATTCCTAACAAAGCTGCCCTCTGAGAAGGTGCTGGTGGGGCTGTCAGAGCAGCAACTGGAGGACCTCCTTTTGGGTGGGGGGGAGACTCAGAGGGGCCTTTTGTGTTGGTTAGGATATTGAAGTAATATTTGTGAAGACTTCAAAACAGTGCCTGGCACAGTCAATACTTAAGAGAGTCTGTGAAACTGGCAGCGGCGGCAGTGGTGGGGGGTGTTCTAAAAGCCCCTTTGTCAGCTCACAGAGCTTGGGGTTGCTGGCTGTGCCTATTTCTGCCTCAAGACAGGTCCATTGTAAGGCTGGCTCTACCTGCCACCCTGTCCTTCCTGAGGCAGGCAAGGAGGGTCTCAGTTCCAGGTCCCCGCAAGCCAGAAAGAGGAAGCACTACTTGAAGGAAACCTTACCAAAGCCCCTTCCCCACCCCTTGCCCTCCCCCTGCTACTCTTCTCATACTAGACTCCAATACCCAACATGTCTCAGTGCAAAAGGTCCTTCTGCTGTTCCCTCTGCCACCTGGGCTGTGATTCCAGAAGTTTTCTCCATGCTGGTCTGGCTGCTGGGCCCTATTCATGCCCTCTCCCTAAGTTTCCTGTTGCTCCCAAGACCCTCACATCACCTCCCAGTTCTGGTGTATTTGGGATTCCTCTGAGCTTACTGAGGCCCAGCAATGCTCCTGTGGTGAGTTCAGCTGGGTCCCCAGCTATTAAGACTGTCTCTTTTCTGGGGGGTGGGAGGCAGGGAGGGGAGGGATTGGGGTCAAAATAAGGGGGTCGCAATTGTATGGGGAATATAAAAATAAAATTTATAATAAAAAAAAAGACTGTCTCTTTTCTAATAAACCATAAGTTCATGAAGATTTTAACTCTGCACTAAATTTAAGGGCTCACAGCAGAGGGGCCAATTCCATGTACTGTTTAGAGTCCTATAAAACTGCCCCCTCCGTGTAAAATCATGGTGATGGCCAATGTTGGGGAGCATGGGCCAGGGTGCCCTGTGTGCTTGTTCCACACCTCCCTGCAAGGGAGTCATAGGAGGAGTCACAGCATGTCTTTTTTTTTTTTAATAATAAATTTTATTTTTATATTCCCCATACAATTGCAACCCCCTTAGTTTGACCCCAATCCCTCCCCTCCCGCCCCCTACCCCCCATAGAGTGTTTCTGGTTCATAGTTTTTTATTGATTTTGATTTTAACTTTCTTATAGTTACAGCATGTCTTTTTAACATGGGCTGGGGATTTTTAATGCGCTGGAGAGTGCAGCTTGATGCTTAGCCCCACTCAGCAGTGGCCGGGGGTTAGTACTGGGGTAATAGGCTTGCCTCATATTTCTCAGTAGGAAAGAATCTGATGGCAAACCTGAGAGGGGAAAACCATCTTAAAAGTCCATTAGAAATGGCATACAACAAGTCAAATTCATAAGCTCCAGGGCAGGGGATGCCAGCAGCACTTGGGCGTTTTCCTTCACAGAGCCTGTGCCTCAGAGATGACCCGCAAAGAGCGAGCATGGGAGGGGAAGGCACAGCCCGCTCCCCTGTCCACACACATACCTTGGCTGACCTGGTGACGGCCCCAATCTCCGAGTACAGATCAGAGCTGTCTGGGAAGTTTTCCACCACCATGGTGCACACATGGTGGAGAAGTGACTGCTTGTGCACGGTGTCTTTGACTTCTGGAACCTTCTCGAGGTAGCTTAATTCAAATGCTTTGGCCTGTTTGGTGAACATTAAGTAAAAGAACAAGTTTCATGCAGATTCTTAGAGAAGCACAAATGGTTAGAATCAACACCCTACTGGGTAGCCCACCATAGTTTCCTCTGTGAGGGAAGCTGCTCAGGCACAGTCCATCATCTGCGGCTGATCACACACGGACCAGGTACACAGAAATGACGTGAGCCTCCAGCCCATTCCCATCAGGGTCTGATATGGACTGCCCCCGGGCTCCACCTGCCAATCAGCATGCCATGGGGCTGAGACTCTGCCATCTGGGTGTATACAGGTACTTCTTTCCCTTGCCCTGTTACTTTTGACTACTTGGCCCAAATAAATTAAATTAAGTACAAGTAGTTGAGTAATAAATTCAGAGGGAAAAAAAAAACAGAAGAAAATATCTTCAATGTCAGGTTTGAGAATAGCAGAGCTTCCTAAGGAACAGTGTGCTTATTTTTCTAAGTTTTCTTATTTATAGTAAGATACAGGTTGCCATAAATAGGCCCAGATAGATTAGGGACACAATTCTGCCTAGATTTTCAGCACAAAAATGTGAAAGTTGTTTTTTCATTTGTACACTGGGGGGCCAGAGACACAATCTCCACAGCAAATGAGGGTCAGGAATTTCATGACAAGGAAAGGTGGGAGGATGAGGGATAGGAAAGACTTACATTAGTTCCATTTAGAAAGTTCCCGATGGCTAAGAGAGTAGACAGGATGAAGCCCAAGGTTTTATTGTTCTCCAATTGGTCTATTCCTTCCTTCAGGTCCAAAAGAGGTTCTGCCACTTCCTTTCAGTTAAAAAAACATTAGGAGGAGATGATAAAGAACGTATATCTTGGCTTCACTTTGTCTTTATTCATATTTGTACAAGGGAAGGAGTGGATTTCTCCCCAGCACAAGGCAATCCCATGGGTGGAGACATGCTCCTAGTTATGGAAAAGGGTCAAAAGGATCAGGGAGAAAGTCTGGTCCCCAAAAACTTGCCGGTGGAGACCTGTGGCTACAGACACTTGTGCTGGGGTGACAAACGGGGTCTTCCCTTGTTCCTGCTTATCTACCAAGCTCAAGAAGGATGCTTGGGTCACACCCTCTTCACTTCTCCTCAACCATAGCTCACTTCCGCGACACTCTTCCTTTGCAGTTTCCTTCAGTATCTGGCCTACAGTGTTCCTCTTTGCCTCTCTCTTTCCAGGTAGATGCTAGAAAATGTGGCCTCCCTGGCCCTGTCTTCTAGCTCCCCTCTAGGCACTCTGTGGCAAGCCACCTCTTATCTGGTTACTTTCTAGAAAGACACCATCCTCACTACTCCCACGGCCTTCGTAACACCCACTCTGACCTCTAGCATTTTCTGTGGCCTCACAGCCTCAGTCTCCCCTTCCCTATCTACTGTTGCTTGATGAACCCCACTGCCATGCCTTTACTAGTCCTCTCCCATAGCTTATACCCAAAAGTCAGAAGGTTCAGCTTCATTCTCTCCAGCAGACCTTCTACCAGGCTAGCCCTGCCAATCCCCAAACAAGCTGATCTGATAAGTCCATGACATGACCTTACTTTGCTTGAGAAGGTCACCTAAACATTCTGACCAGCTTAGAGACCAAGTCATGCCAGGTAGGTCACCTTAGCAGTCCTAGGGCTCCATTCCTGCCCTATTCCTGAATGAACGCAAATACCCACTGCCAACTCTCTGCCCTTCACAGGAGGATGGAGGCCACACAGCCACTCCACCTGTGCTTGGAGTCTGTCTCCTCCAGGCACTTCCTATCAGTACAGCTCACCTTCCATTCTCTGTCCTATCCACTGGTTCCTTCAGCCCAGCCTGCAAAAATACTCACATTATCCGAGGCCAGAGGAAGCTTGCTTCTATGCCCTGCTCCAGCCGAGTCCCCAATGTCTTCACTGTCAAGGTCCCTTTCTTTGTATTCTCCTCTCACCCTCATGTGATCTCTTCTATTTTCAACTTTCTACCAAGATACTCTTTTAAAGGGACCCAATGACCTGCTGATTGCCACAGGCAGTGGCAGTTTAGTTGATTATCATCAGGTGGGAGACACAGGTCATTTTCTAGGGAGTGCTTCTATTTTCCAAATTTTTTACTATGAGCATATGAAGTCAGAAAACTTTAATTGATATCTTTCTTTAACATGTCACCTAGTACCCACAATCAAGAGTGTGAAGCTGGTGCCAGGCAGACACTTTAGAATTACCCCTCATGAGTAGACAGCTGAGCTCTTAGGATGGACACACCATTCCCGTCAACCCTATCTTAGGAATGGTACTTCACTACTTTCTCATAAAAAACTGACTCTCTCTACAGTGGGCTGCAGGAATGGCTGCCTCTATTCCTAATTGTTTACCTTTTCTGTAGTTTCATAATCCATTTTGAATGCCCAGAGGTGGAGTCGAGCTGAGAGCTCGCTGATGGAGGAGAGTGTGAGGAGGAACTGCTCGGCACTGCCCAGGGGCACGTCAGGGTTGGCCAGCTGAGCTTCCTGGATTTTCTGCTTCTCTTCTTCAGTGGGAATCATAGTTAGAATTTTCTGGAAAGAAGGGATGATACAGTAATATTCTTATTCATCTCAGTCACCTCATTCATCTCAGTGATGAAAGATACCCAACCCCTTCAATGTTTTCAAATTCATATTGCAATTTTCCAACCAGGTAGTGGGTATTGTGTTGTCAGCATTTATATATACACACACACACATATACATAATCATTATAATAAATACATTATAAATACAAAATAAATAAATACATTATAAATACATTTCAGAGATTATATGTACCTGGTAGCATCTAAAAGGCTACTGACTGGAGGGCCATAAAAGAAGTCTTAGGGAACTAGAGGAAAGGCAAAGTAAGTGTATCAAGTTATTTAAGAATGTTCTGAGCTCACCCCTGAGCTGTTCATGTGTGAGTCTGACCTTAAATACAACATCAAAGGCTTTGAGACCTGAACTAGCGTTCTCACATAGCTACCATCCACTTTGAAAACAGCTGACGCTGGAATCTCGGTCCCCAGAAGGCAGGCCAAAACCTGTGGCCTGAACCCCAACAGGTAAAGGAATAATTTCCAATTTGCTTTGAACTCCCTGATATAAAACGTAGGCAATGATAGGACAAGGAAAGCAAGTTTCAGGCCACTATCCCTAATGAATGCAGATGGAAAAATCCTTCACAAAAGGCTTTTAAAGTATAAACATCAATATATTAAGATGTGGAAACATAAGCAACCTAAATGCCCATTAGTAGAAGACTAGATCAAGAAGATGTAGTGGACCCACACTATGGAGTGTGGGAGACCCACACTGTAGAACACTATTCAGCTATAAGAAAAATGCTGCCCAAGGTTTCCATTACAGCAAAATGGAAAGTGCCTGAGAGAATTACATGGAGTAAAGCAAGTCAAAATGACAAAGATAAAAATTGGACATTTACAAAGCAGACAGTTTGACAAAGTAAAATACTTACAAAACCACTGTCACTAATAAATGAAATGAAGTTCCTGAGATTAAGAGGCAGGGAGAAAGGGTGAAGGAGATATAAGGGATGGTGGTGGGAAAAATAAAAGGAGTACAATAAGTACATCTGTGTGCTAAAGATAATGAATCACGGGGCCTCCCCGGTGGCGCAGCGGTTGAGCGCTGGGTTGCGAAGCTGCCTGCAGCCTCCGCGTCGCCAGTTCGATCCCCGGCTGCTCCCCGGCCACCGGAGGAGGGTCCCACATGGCGTGCAGACCTCTCCTGCCGCCCGCTGCTCCCCTCAGCAGTGTACTTCGGTCCTTCTGCCTGCTCTGCTTCCCGCTCTAGCTCTGGTGAATTCTCTCACCCTCCCGCGCTTCTGACTGTACCCAGTGCGTGTATAAATAAATAAATAAATCTTTAAAAATAAATAACCTTAAAAAAAAAAAAAGATAATGAATCACTTCGCATTTGTTTATCACTAGAAAAGGCCAAATAATCATGGCCTTTGGTAGTAACTAATGGTCTAAGAACAGGGTTTGACAAGTAAGTATTTTATTGCTTGGTGGACTTTTTGAATGCAGAATAGTTAATTTAAGTATTTAAATTTAAGGTAGTTAAATGTTATCTACCATGAAATTAAACAACTGGGTTTATATTAAAATACTGTAAAAAATGGGAAAATAATTGATTTAGAGAGTTAATGGATGAGCACTTCCCTTTTTTGTTAATGTTGCTATGTATATTAGATAAGCAATACAAAAGAATTAACTTTTCCTTATACAAGTAACATATGATCTAAACAGAAAAAACAAAATAAAAAGAAAAGATGTAAATATGCTATCTTTTATAGTGCAATATGAAAATATAGTAAGATTACTTCAATATGCAAGAATCAATGCAATTAATCTACCATATTAAAAAATCTGAAGAAAAACAGTGAGTTTACCAATGTTGTAAGATATAATGTTAATACATACAAGAGTCCATTTAATACCTAGATATTTATAATGAACAAATAGAAACCAAAAGTTAAAAATAAAGCATTTATAATAAAATACTTCATATATATCTAGGAAGACATGTGAGGGATCTAGATATGGTAAAATAGAAAACGCTGATGAAAACAATCAAAGAAGATTTAAACAAATGGGGAGATACTCTGTTTATAGACTGACTCAACAGGATCAAGATGTTAATTTTCCCAAAACTGATCTGTAAATTTGACTCAAAGAAAATGAAAATACTAGCATGATTTTTTTTTCGTGGGTATAGACACTCTAAAACAAGGTAGAGGGGACCAGAACCACCAAAACAATGTTGAAAAAAGGATAATCTTGGAGGAATCATATCACTTGTCTTTAAAATCTACTATAGGGCCTCCCTGGTGGTGTCAGGGGTTAAGACGCAACCTATGAGGCTGCCCGCAGCCACTGCAGCACAAGTTTGATCCACGGCCTGCCAGGGAGCAACCCACATGGCACAGGAGACCTCTCCTGACTCGCCTGCTGCTCCCCTCAGCAGTGTACTTCGGTCAATCAGCCTGTTCTGTTCCCCACTCTGTCTCTGGTGAATCCTCTCACTCCCCACACCTCTGGCCTGTACCCCAATTCTTGTATACATAAATAAATCTTCAAAAAATTAAAGTAAAATCTACTATAAAGCTATACTAACAAGGCAATGGGGGATGGAATACTAATCCACTAGTAAGACACGGGCACCAGGATAGATACATGAATCAATGGGACAAAATACGGAATCCAGAAACAGACTACATAACTATGACCCCATTGATTTGAAGAAGATGCGAAGACAATTCAGTGGAGAAAAGATAATGTTTTCAACAAATGGTATTGGAAAAACTGGAATCCACATGTACAAAAATAAAAACAAATATTACACCTATCATAAGTTAACTCAAAATGGCTCAAAGATCTAAAAGTAAAAGGTAACACAACAGAATTTTTAGGGGGAAATATAGGGAAAAAATCTTTCTGACCCACAGCAGGTAATGACTTCTTAGATGATCCAAAAAAATGAATGAGTTGATCAAGCAAACATCCTCCAGATTAAAACCTTTTTCTCTGTGCAAGAAATGCCTCAAGCTACAATTCTCCACAATTTTAAAAAGAGCTACCATCTGACTCTATGGTAGGGAAGGGATGGCATGGTACAAAGGGCAAGTCTATGGTAGGTCTGTACCCTAAAAATAATGAAACTTAGGTTCATACAAAGACTTTTGCATTAATATGTACAGTTGTTTTATTCAGAGTTGCCAAAAACTGGACCAAGCTATATATTCTTCAATAGGTAAAAAGACCAACTGTGGTGCACCCCGATGGTGCATTAGTCCTCAGCAACAAAATGGGACAAAGCATAGCCTTGTACCAGCACTTGCAGGCTCTCAAGTGAGTCATGCTGAGTGAATGAAGCTAGTCTTAAAAAGATACAGCCTGTATGATTCCAGTTATCTGATATTCTCAGACAAAACTGTGAAGAGAACAGATTGGGGGTTACCAGGGCAACAGGTCAGTTGAAGATGTGACTGGATGGGACCATTTTGGGGTTTTTTTTGTCATTGTTAAAGATTTATTTATTTACACAAGCACTGGGTACAGTCAGAAGCGTGGGGAGGGTAAGAGAATTCACCAGAGCGGGGAACAGAACAGGCAGACTGATGAAATACACTGCTGAGGGGAGCAGCGGGCGTGGCAGGAGAGGTCTGTGCACCACGTGGGACCCTCACCAGCGGCTGGGGATGGAACCGGTGCTGCAGAGGCTGTGGGCAGCTTTGCAGCCCAGCGCTAAACCGCTGAGCCACCAGGGACCATTTTGAGTTCTGACTGTGGCAGGTATTCCTTGGATTTACACATATTTTAAAACATAGACTGTAATACCAAAAAATCCAATCACACTCTGGTTTAATGCAAAAAAATAACAAAATCAAAGACTGGACATTTGACAGCAAGATGAGTAAGCATGCAGCTGTTTACATGATGCTGCTTCAGGATGTATCCTGGTCGGGTAAGAGCTGTCCTGAGCCAGTGAGTATGAGCAGAATTAGTCATGTGTCCAAAGACAGTGACACCAAATTGCATGGAAAGCTCTCACTGTACGTAGCCAGAGTGAGGCTGCAGAAGGTGAGTCTTAGCTACCTCTTCCTCTAGCATCCTCTTCATTATGTACCTGAAGCCAGAGATTATGTGGACTTCATAACTTGAGCATCATGGGGGATACTCAGCTACAGGGGCTCCCTGCTTTCCTGCAGGTTTACATTACTGACCCCACCTGTCACATAGAGGGTATTAATAGCCGAAATAATCTGAGCAGATGCTATTTTCTTTCATGACATCCAGGATTTGAACTCAGTTTCAAAATGAAAAATTGTATTTCAAGTTGCTTAAATGCTTACTAATTCTAAGCATATACAAGAAGGTCAAAATAAAAAGTGTCAGTAACTTCTTCAGAAATCATTTTCCTGTGATGATTTTAGTCGCTTTTCTTTCTTTGGGAAAGTAATCAAACAATGTTACTTTTGTTTTTCATTTCTGACTAAGCTAAACCATTTATTCATTGTTGAAGATTTATGAAGTTACCATCTGCCATTTTATTTTATTTTTTACACATTAACTGACAATAAAAATGGTCATAAGATAGTGGAATGGCAGGTCAACACCGCCTCCTATAAGATGATGGCCCTTTCTTCTCCATGAACAGAGGAGATGAGAATGAGGAGGTGCCTTTAATTTGCCCTTCTCCCATGTCAGTAGATATATAATGATTTTATGATCATACAATTTCACAGAAAAACATCAAACATGACCACCATGTAATAATCACTGTTTTTTTTTTCCACTTTCCCCTAGTGTCTTTCAGCAATGCTTTAAGCATATTTGCTTTTGTATCTGAGAACTGTATGTTAGAAAAAAACACATCAGTCTCATTTTAACAGACATAGCTCTGGATGAGAATTTAGTACAAAGATTTTGGTGATAATAGCAGAGAGGTAGAACCTTAGAGCTGACGTTAATGTGGATGCAACTTGCACATTGACACTCATGTGACAATGGTTTTCTCCTTGTGTACTTATCTGTATGGAGGGATATTTTATACATATGCATATAAACACATATAAGCATATGCATATATACACAAATGTGTATATATGCACAGTATACATGCATATATATGTATATATGCATATACATACTTTTTTTTCACTTGTCAAGTTGTCTTTATAGTATCTTCTTTTGTTCTTCTGACTATTCAGTGAGGTACATAGGGCAGAAATTATTGCCCCAAACTTGCAGAGGAAGTGAGTCACCTGAGTCACCTGCAGTGAGGTTAGGTACATCAAGGCAGAGCTGAGGAACCACTTTGGGGCTCCCCCTACTTTTTTAGCACCTGCTCCCTAATTCATGGTGATTCAACCAGAAACACACATCTACCAGTGCAGCCAAGGTGCCCACTCACCAGGGAGTTCTGTTCCCTGGCACTGTTGAGTGACTGGCTCTGTACTCTGGCCCCCAAATGGACACTCATGGGTGGGATTAGTGCCACACAAAAGCTAGAGAAGAGTCTGTTCTTTTGTACTTGTGGCCAAAGGGAACTTATGTTTCTGGGATGCTGACAGGACTGATAGCCAACAGGGGCAGGTCAAATGTCACTTGGGACTGTTCGATTGTATTACCCTCTGAGTAGGCAAACACCCTAAAAATTAGAAAAGCAAGAGAGAAAAAAGTAAACCTTCAACCTTCCATTTGTGCTTGATAGTTTACCTGGGGAAGTATCAGTATTACCACATAGAGAGGGCCCTAGAATATTGTTCTGAAATTTAATTTTCCTATGAAAAATGACTTAAATTGGTTTAGTTAACTACCTCTTAGATTTTCATGACAAACCCAGAAACAGACTAATGAGTGGCTCAGCTAAGCCACAGGACAGCACTGTCTGTATCTTAATCACATTTAGGCACACGGAGGTTTCCAATGGCCCCATTAAGCCATGATGCCATGCTACAGAGCCTGCTTCCAAGAAGCAGACAGTTTGGCAAAGGGCCCTCTGGACAACAGCTGGAAATCTTATTAGTAAAGATCTGTAATACAAAACTTCCACCCCTTCTCAGTCCTGGTTTAACTCTTGAACAGTAAGCCTGGAGCAGCAGCTTGGGTAACTGGCTCAGCACATGACGAGACCCTCCATGTCACTCAGGTCCCTAGGTCAGTGACCACAGACTGCTGCACATGAGGCATGCTTTGTTCTTTTCCATCTGGAAGCTTCCATAATGTTCCTCTCTGTATTTGTCTGCTGTCATCTGACTTTTCTTTATATTCTGTGTCCCAGTTGGCTACCTACCCACTTGGCTGCCCACCAGGATATTCTGACCTGCTTTGAGGCCTGACCACAAAGGGGCTCAACCGCCTCTCCATGCACTTCCCTTCTTGCACCTTCTCCCAGAAGAGCACATGTACAGGGTTCTCTGAGGAGAGCTATTTGGGCCTGTACTGAAGTCCTTGGACTGCCCTAACAAAGTGCTGCAAACTGGTACCTTATCACACCTGAAGTTTATTCTCTCCCAGTGTGAGCAACTAGAGTCTGATATCCAGATGTCAGCTGTGCCATGCTCTCTGCAGGCTCCAGGTAAGGATCTTCTCATGCCTCTTTGCAGCTTCTGGTGGTTGCAGGCAACCTGTGGGGTTCCTTGGCTTGCAAAGGCATCACCCCAATCTGTCCCCATTGTCATCTGGCCTTCTGTTATCTCCCTGTGTGTTCTCTGTCTTCACATGGCATTCTCCTCTCTGGGTCTATGTCCAAAACTCCCTCTTCTTATAAGGACACCAGTCACTGGAGTAGGACCCATTCCAGTATGACCTCATCTTTACTTGATTACATCTGCAAAGACCCTACTTCCAAATAAGGTCACATTCTGAAGTTCTGGGTGGATAGAAGTTTGAGAGAGACTCTATTCAACTCAGTACAGATCTCTAAGAAGACAATTTTTCCTGCAGGGCCTCTTTTCTTTCTCCCATAAAGCACAAAGGCACACCTGTCTGGCTTGGTTGAGAGACCACCTTGCCCCAGCTCCCCCATAGCCCCCTCCTACAGTCAGGGCCATGGTGAGTCCAACACAGCAGCCTGAGCGCTTCCTCCACAGTTTGTCTTCATTGGGTCTCTTTTGAGTTTTTCAAATAAAGGTGCATTTGAGTGAACCCCAGCTATGGAAAAGCTTTAAAGAAATCCAGACTAGAGGTTGGGTTGGGTGTTACCCAATGCCACAGTGAGTGTCCTCAGATCCCCACTCTGACCCAGTAGGACCCCAGGACACAATGTCCTTTGGTAGGAATCTGTGACGGGGCCACTACTCACTCTTTATCTGTTATTGGCACATTAGAATTAATTTGTCACAAACCAGTCCATGGTAAAGGGACCAGCACCAGACCATGGTGAAGGGAAAACAGGGCTTGGGGAAGGACACTGAACTCTGGCAGAGCAGGCAAGCAGTGGTCCAGCTGGGCTACCTCCAGCTGTGCAGTGGGACCCATGTCACCTGCCTCTCTCCACACAACATTCATATCAGCAAATGCAAGGACTCAGTTCACTATAAGTTACCACATCATCTTTCATCTCCAACTTATCACATCAAACATCTCTCTCCGTACCCCAATGAATGCCAGAAGAGAAGCAAAGTCATTCACCAGGAGGTGAGTCCACCCAGAAAACTCTACTTTTGAAACTGTTCAGTAAATATATTTTACTTAAAAGAACCAGCAAGGAGACTGTCCCAATCTCCTAGAAGGTTCTTCTTCTTCTTCCACATTGAGGTAGGTGGACATTGGATAGCCAAAGTCAGTACATGAGCCAGAGATTGAAGATATCTGAACTTCATAGGCCAAGGGAGGCTCCCCTCCTCCCAGAAGTTGAAAAAAATGTGAGAATTATTAACATTATTCAGAGTCTGGCTGAGAGAAAAATAGCAAGCCACCCTGCAGAGAAAGTCATATTGGATACAGTAATGCTTTACATATGGGACATATTACAGAACACAAATAATGCTTGATAGAACTTCTCTTACCTCAATTCCTTCTTTGTTTAAGGCATATTCATCAAAATTCAAAATGGCTATCTTAATGGTTCTTGGAGGGGGGAGTACCGTCAGGCCAATATTAATAGCATTGCTCCTCTTGGAATCCAGGACGATGATCTCCTGTCTTTTTCCATCTGCAGCAGTTTTCTTGGTGACAAAATAAGGAGAACTCAAGATTAATGCATCACCTTTGGTCCTTGCTGTGTTTCATTATTGAAAGCAAGCTCACTACTTATTTAGAGATGAAAACAAATGGCCCCGACTCAGCTCAGGGAAGGACTGGCTACTGCTCAACAAAGAAAGAGATCAGGGATTAGCTCTGAGATGCCGCCAAGCTTGGGTCAGCCATGAACTTCACGAGTCAGACACATTACAAAAGAAAATTGATTTTCCTTCAATTGGGAAAAATGTGATATTCACAAGAAAAAAACACTTTTTTTTTCCATAAAAGCAGTAGAAACAAAACTAAAACTTCTCAGAGTTCCCTTCCTGTGGTTTGAAAGGGTAGGATGTGCCTTGGTTGGCCCTGGTGCCCGTGGTATGCCTGGGGAAGGATGAGCCATTACATGTGCTGAGAACACAGGAGTGATGTGAAGAATCTAGTAACACAGGCCGGGGCTGGTCAGCACTTCTGGATCCCCTCATAATGCACGCCTCCTCTGGCCCTCACACCAGAGCACCCGCCACATTTAAAATCTACAGGGCTGCCCAATGGGTTCCTGAGAAGGGGCCTTCCAACAAAGGGCAATGAAAGGCCACGCATGGTGAGGAGGAATAGAGTATGAATAAGCATAGAAAGCTGAGGAGGGGACAGGGAACAAGAAATATCCAATGTCATCGCACAGCCCTTGTGTGTGTGGCCTTCCTGCTGGCCTGGTGCTCCTTGGGGGAAGTAATGGGCAAAGCCCAGTAAGTGTGTGAGGTGCTGAGCCAACACTTGTCTTTGCCCAGAACTGAGAAGGCCCTTAGCTTCCGTTTTTAGCTCCCAGGAAGCTATGGGTAGGGGTTCTGGGGGGGGGGGGGAGCAAGTGGGGAGACCTGGCAAACTCTTTGTGTGTGCTCAGGTTTCCCTTGAGCCTAACAGAGCTGGGAGGATGATTATTTTGATTTATGTAACAAGCCCAGAACGACAAAGATGAATGCAGTGGATAGGGGATGTCCTGCCGGAAAAGACACGCTCAGCACAGAAATGGGCGAGCTCCCTGGGGCCACTAACTCTCCTGGTGGTGGAAGGGTCAGGGTCTAGAGGAGCTGACACTTAAGTGGGGACCTGGAGGATCTAAGAGCTAGCCTGGGGTTGGAAGGAAGACAAGGAGATTAATGGTGCCTTTGTCTAGGGTACTGGGAATGGCCAAAGACAAGCTGGCATCATGGAGGAGCCACATTTGGGGGACTGCATGAGTCAGTCCGGGGTTCTGACTACACTGTGCAGACGGGCCCCAGCCAAGCAGCGGACTGTCAATCACCATCTGGCTCCTGCGTGAGGACTTACCCTCTCCTCTGAAGAAGGGAACTTGGTGGGCAGAAGCAGCTGAGCTGTCTGGAGAAGCTGCCAGGAGAAATGGGCTGTGGCCCCTTGAGTCCTACATGGTCTTTCCAGACTCAACTGCTAAAATTCTATTTTAGATACTTAAGTATGCCTTTGGGAATTAAAATTTTGTTGTGAACAAATTCACTGAAGGCATCCCAACTATTTGGGGACATGGTGGCCAGGAGGAGTAATTCCTGTGGGTGTGGCCATCAGCTTTAAGCAGTGGGTTCTCAGGGACATGTGGTGTTGATACACCCGTGATCTGCCCAGCAAGCTTGCCTTCCATGTACTTAATCAAATAAGCTTATTAGGAGCCCCTGAAATTTAGCTTTTTAATCTAATTTAATATATTATTTTACATATGAAATGTTAAAGAGGAATGAGAAAAGGTTGGCAAAATGTTGAACACAGGCAATGAAGAGGGATATTACAATTTGCAAAGTCAACATAGGGATCCTGGGTGTCCACTCCCCCGGACACAGCAGGGCATATAACCAACATCCATTCCCTCTGTCCTGCTCACCTAGTAGACAATGATTTTTTCAGGCTGGCAATGTGTCTGTTAAATCAGTTACCTCCCTGGACCCCTTGCAGCTAAAGTTGGCCCTCTCACTCAGTTTTGACTTTTGTTTTCCCAATTAATCCAATGGACCATGCCTTTTACCCTTCTCCTTTCTTCTTGCCTAGAATGTGGACTGAGTCTTGGAGGTGCAGTAGAAGACACTCGTGAGCATAAAGAATGAGCAACTTAAGGATGGTCATGTGGAGACAGGGGGAGCCTGGGACCTGGCACTGAAGCGGCAACTACCCACAGACAGGCTCCAGCAGAGGAGGCGAGTATCAGAAGTGGGAGTTCCCTGGAATCATTAGTTCTTAACTCATCTATCTAGGCCCCCTCAGTCCAGGAGCCAGGAGAGATGCCTGAGCAGGCCCAGCCCAACTGCAGCCTTTGTGCAAATGAGAAAAGAGGGTGTCCATGGTAAATAGCTTGAAGGAGAACACAATTCAGACTGTAGCCCTTCCTCCTTAGTCAGCATCCATGGGCGGCAAATGACCTACTCATGTGGTGATTAAGTCTCCATGTCCTTGTCCCCATTCCCAACTCATTTGGCACCAGTGGACAACACTCCTCCCCATATGGAGAAGCAAGCTACCAAGCATCCTGAAGAAATGGGGAGAGCTATTCTGATAGATGACTCTACATGTTTTCAGAGATTCCAACCACCTTGGGAAGGAAAGAATAAGAATTAAAGTCAAATCTAAAACAGAATGATCCAATTTCTGGATTTTATCCAAGAGATGTTTTAAATGTTCTTCTTTATGATTAAAACAGATTTCCCACTGGGTGCTACTGAGCACTCAAGAGCTTTGGGGTCATTCTGCCCCAGGGGAGGGAGTGGGTGACGTGCCCATCTCTCTCTCCTCCCTATAATAACTGGAGCAGCATCTGCAAGGGCTTGTCCAGGAATAACATGTTTCTCGGTAGGAAGTCTAGAATTTAAATGAAGTCTACTGCCTCTCATCTAATATATATTTAAAATAACTAATCAAAAGTCCAACTAGATTTGTTTTTGAAATTAGAAAAAAATCCCAAATTGAATATAAAGTATATGCATAAAAAAGTCAAAAATATTCTAAAAAGTATGTTATATATAAAATCTATCAACCATAAAAACATCAAAAAAATTGATCGATAAATCTTCCTTGATTTAGGGTGATACTCTAAGCTAAAAATACCATAAGTCAAAATGCATATAATATACCTAATATACCAATCATCTCATCTCATCCTAACCTATCTGAAATATGCTTAAAACATTTATATTAGAGATCAGTTGGGGAAAATCATCTAATGCAAAATCCATTTTATAATAAAGTGTTGACAATCATGGATTTTATTGAACATATACCAAAAGTGAAAAACAAAATGCCCTAATTCAAAATTCAACTACATTTTCTAGTGAATGCATATCACTTTTTGTACAATCATAAAGTCAAAAAATCATAAGCTGAACCATTGTAAGAGTAGTGTTGGCACTAGTGTAGCTGGAATGATAGAATTGAATGATAGTGCAGAAAAAGCTCTCACACCATGGTTCAAGGTGTTCCAACAAAGACACCAAGGTATCAATCAGAATCCATATGAAAGTCCATTTTCTATACAGAACCAAATAAAGTAACTTAAAAAAAAGTATGGTGGTCAACACCATGACACACCAGATTAATGGACATTTTCCACAATAGAAAGAGAAAACTCCAAGACAAAGCAGAAACACAGGCTTGCATGGGAATAGCCCAGCATAATAGGACAGACTCAGGAGCTCTGAAGGGTATCTGAAAATCTTCAGAGCAGCAATGCATCTGGGGGTTCAGTTGGGGTCTACCCACCCAGATCTGTATGACCTTGGTCAGTCATTGACCTTCTCTATGCCTTAGTTTCCCTTCTGGAATCTACCTCACAGGGTTTTTTGGGAGGATGAAATGAGATAATGGAACTAATCCAGTGAGAACAATGTCTGGCCCAGGAGAAGCACTGCAGAAGTGTCTTCTAGGCTTGAGAAAACAGCGTTAGTGGTACTAAAATAAGTAAAGCGCTTAGGGTAATGTGACATAGCAAGTACTTCCTAACATAAGCTCTTAGTTATTTTTACCTCCATGACTCCTTCTTAATTTTAATTTATTGACACTGTATTTTAAAACACATGGTTGACAATGTATGTATTTCATAGTTAATGTAGTTACCTTGTTCCCTGATGAAAGGTATACATAAATAGGAATGTTGGATCAGATCAGAGTCACCACTTTGAATAAATGAGAGCTCCAGGGAAAGTGTAGACTTGATACTCAATTTAGACTGCAGACCTGCTTCCAATGGGCCTGGATATCTCATAAGGAAGTTTGTGAATGACTGATAATATACATGGATGCTCATGAGTGTCTTTGCAGATCCTCAGGCACATGGAAACCCAGGTGGGACTAGATCTAGAAAATGAGCATGTCCTGGGTGGTACTGAACATCTCCTTGCAACAACGATGGTTGAGAATGTCTTATAAGGAGAATATTATGGTGATGTCACAAGCCAAAAAACAGACTAGACTCCAGGACTAACAGAAAGGGGAATTTTGGGGAACAATCAGGAGTGTTAAAAAGAAAACTTGTACACAATGGAAGTGCTTATGTTAATTCCACCAAGACTTAATACCTAATTTAAGTGCAGCTTCATACTCCTCCTGGAATGTAGTCCTAATTGGTCAGTATTGAACTTCTTGGCCAGCACCAATATGGCTCTTTTCCATTTCCCAAATAAGATAATCTGCCATAAGACCTTTTCCCACACGCACAGGCAGGTTACCTAAGCCTGCAGTAATTCCCTCTTCCTTTCTCTTGCCTTCTTTCTGCCTAAAAAGCCTTCCAGTTTGTATAGCTTTTCAGAGAACCTTGCTAAATGGGCTGCTGCCCAATTCATGAATTCCTTAATAAAACCAATTAGGTCTTTAATATAATTGGGTTGGATTTTGGTTTCTGAACAGGAGTTTCTCCTCATCTGCCAAAGACATGGCCATCTCCATAACTCAAGGCAGACTAGGCAAACATTAATTTGCTACCATTAATTAG